AAGCAGTATTTTAAATATTGCTGGCTGCATATTAGTCTATAAATGGATTTTAAGAGGGATTTTATAAATGAAAGGAAAACCCTGCTGTCAGTACTGCTCCTTGTATTACTCTTAATACCCTGTTTTCACTCCACATATTAAGGAAAGCATAACTTTAGAACAAGTTGAGTCTCAACATGAATAATTAGGTTTGTTACAAAGTAAAACACAAAGTGAATAAGGTAAAATAAAATTTCAATAAGATATAGTACTTATTTTAATATTATTATTAGTCAACAGATCCTCTGCCTTTTCTACTGAAGGTTAAAAGTTCAAGAGCTTATAGCAATTTGCCTAACAAGCTTAGAAAATAAGATGATTCAAACCTATTACCCTACTGTATGTGTTCAGTATACAGTAAATATAAAAAATGTTCTTAAACTGCCTCTCAGGGCTAGCTGCCCTTAACCAGCTTATCCCCCATTCACCCTTTACTGTGAGTGTAGCACCTACTGTACATGTACAGTACCTGGGGGATGCTTGGTAGCAATTGTCACCAGCCCTACTACACAACAGAAACGTTAATTCACCAGTTAAATTCAGGGGGATATATTGTATACTGTAGGTAGGCCAGCTCCTTCAAGTCCAAAGTTCTATTTAAACTTGACACTGGGTTTACTCTACTCTTAAAAGTACCTTGAGATCTGTAGTGACCAATTGGTCAGGAGCTTCGTAAAAGGATATCACATGATACAACATATTGTCCTCAATCACTTCGTTGAAGCATTAATTGGGAAATTATTTCCATTCCAGTACTTACTAGGCTCAGCCTTGCTTATCTTGATATACTGTATGAGATACCAGCCTGTTTAGTCAAAGCTTGTTATGCGCTCAGTCCCAGTGAAAGTTCGCTTACTTTGTGAAATGGCCAGAACTCATTAAGATTAAATTTCATAATTCATAATTCATGCGGTATGCTTATATGTCTTTGAATTTTAGTTTCCCCAATTAGACATTTTGAAACATAAAAGTATATTGAAAACTTTTTTTAAAGGAAGTGAATGAATCTGTAAATGTAAAGCTGTTTTCACTTAAATGTAATTTCGTGTATCACAGTATATGCAGTTGTTCAGCAAAAAGCTTAAATTCCTGTGCATAGGCTTTTATTGAAAAGTTCATGTGTCACATTTGTCCTTCACTAGGAACTAGAACATTTATAAGTTTTTTTGTCTTCTGATAAAAAAAGTAATGCTTGGAAATAATTACAGATTTAGGTTTTCTGCACGTGTGGGTACATATGTGTATTCAGCCACATGTTAAGAACAGATAGGTCTGTTAATAAACAAATGTCTTTGTTGGTTTTTGCACATTCAGCTACTGAGGCGCAACATGTTACAGATGTGCAGAATATGTTCTTTCAGCCTTCTGATCTAGCAGTCTAGCTTTCCACCTATTCATCTCTTACACAGAATTATTAGCCCAGTTAATGCTGATTAGAAAATTAAAAAGCTGTACCAGCTGGCACTTATTTTTCTTACTGTAAAAACATTGTTTTCTACTTATTTGCTCTGTGCAGAATTAGCAAAACAAATAGAAGTACAGTAATACTCATGGACTACAGAACTACAAGCACTCATCCCTGAAGGGATGGCAAAACTTGTAATTCTAAACCATTAAAAGTGTTATTGCATGTAAGGTTATAGAAAATATAATTAGAACTGTACTAGAGGAATCTGTATGGCAGTAGTATCCTGGAAGATAGTCTTTTCAAGAGACATGTCATCTGTAACTAATGGTTAGTAATGGATACAAACAGAGCATTTAATACTGTTTCTAATGAAGGATGAATTCTCAAATTCCTGGCCATACAGTGTATATTTAAAGAAAACTTTTTGAATTGAGAACTGGTTAATGGGTATAAAACATAGTACAGATAAGGGAAGAACGTTATTAATAGGAGAGTATAATATGGATCAGTGTTAGGAGCACTACTCTTCCTAATGTATAGCAATAATCTAGATTGCTATACATGATATACGCTCTGGTATAGTTAGAAAATTATATAAATTCACAGATAATACCAAATTAGGAGGATTAGTTTACGCTGTGGAAGCAGCAAAGGAAATTCAAACATTTACTGTAGATAGAAATCAGGACTGGCAGACATCTGGCAGATGACATTTAATGTAGACAAATGCAGAGTGTTACAGGTATAAAAAACATAACTGCTGTATAAATATACTATAAAATAGGCAGTACAGGGCTCCAAGACCCATAAAAAGTATTTATATGTGTTTACAGTATGTAGACACATCATTTTCAACTTCTTGTCAATGAGAGGAAACATTAAAAAGATAAATTGTTAGGATATGTAGTTTATAGTATAGAATTTTAGTCATATGTTATACTACTGACCCTAAACACAGGAGCCCCCCAGGTCTGTTTGTTTAGCCCTGTCCTCTACTCCTTATTTACCATGATTGTGTCGCCAGGCATAACTCAAACTCCATCATTAAGTTTGTAGACAATACAACAGTCATTGGCCTGATCACAGATGGTGATGAGTCTAAGGACAGGGATGAGGTTGAAGCCCTGGCACCACGGTGCCAGGAGAACAACCTATTTCTGAACATCAGTAAGACTAAGGAGATGATTGTGGACTATAGGAAACAAGGGAGGAGATCACACACCCATTTACGGTATATCAATGGGACTTCAGTGGAGAGGGTCAGCAGTTTTAAGTTCCTGGTAGTTAACATCACAGAGGACTTAATCTGGATCCACCTCACCAACATCGTGGTCAAAACAGCACGGCAGCGCCTATTCTTTCTCCGTAGGCTAAAGATGTTTGGCATGCCATCACATATCCAGGCCAACTTCTAAAGGTGCACTATTGAGAGCATCCTGACTGGTTGCATCACTGCCTGGTATGGGAACTGCTCCGCCCGGGATCGCAAAGTACTGCAGAGGGTGGTGAAGTCAGCGCAGCTCATTACTGGCTGTGATCTACCAAACATCCAGGACACCTACTAAGCTAGATGTCTTAAGAAGTTCAGGTCCATTCTCAAGGACCCCAGTCATCCCAGTCGCAAACTGTTTTCTCTCCTACCGTCTGGTAAATGGTATTGAAGCATTCAGTCAAAGACTAACAGATTATGGAACAGCTTCTACCTCCAGGCAATAAGACTGCTAAATAGCCAACCTGCAGCTCCTTCAGCAAATCACCTCTAATGGCTACATGGACATACAGTTTTAATTGTATTTGGCACACTGCACTACTTGGACATAATGTATTGTGCACACCCTGAACACATAGCAGCTCTATTTATATTTAACTCTCTCTGAGTTTATTTCATTCAATTTCTATTGCACTATTCTGTATTATAATGTTACTTTATTTTATAACTTGAATTTTGTGATTAACCCTCCCCAGTGAGCTCGTGGAAAAGACATTTCATTGCCAGCAACTACTACTGCATGCTGTCTTGTGTATTTGATAAATAAACCTTGATTGATTGTTAAAATTGTGTATAGTTTTCATTGTAGAACATATATAGAAAGTTGCTGCTCTGCATGCAGTCCAGTGTTGAGCACCCAGATGCATTCTGAGGCTTAAATAAATGTCCTACACTGAGAGACTGAAAGAACTGTAGTCCATCTTTTCAATCTTGAACAGTGAGGAGTACAAGGGGATATGATATGAATAAGTCTATAAGGGGACCCCTATGCATTCCAAGGGACACAAATAGAAACCAATGAATTAAGAATGTTCAAAATGTTTTTAAAGTATTCGTCAACTTTTTGATGTAAAAATTCATCTAATATTTTGCGAAATGGGTGGATGAGATGCAAGGAGTAGCAGCTAAAAACCAAACGCACTAGGTGGATCAGACAGCCTCCTCTCATTTTCAGAATTTCTTTTTACGCTTTTTAAGTTTACACCTGTTGTTTAGGAAAAGGAAATCTGAGTACAAAATCCTTGTTTGTCCAAAAGATTGAGGAAGTATGGACAAAGTTACCCAGCCATGGTGTTGAAGCTGATAAACAGTTTTCTTTCAAGAAATGGCTGTATGAGTTCTTTGGATCAATTAAATATTAACGTCCAGATGGGCCTTATTGGCTTCCTTTCATTTGTTACCTTTCTTCTGTTCTTATTCTCATAGTTTTTTTTCTTCCTAGTATTTTAATCATGATAAAAAACCCAATTGTAATAATTGGTCTTTACCAAGTCACAGCTTTCTGTTTGTGTGACACATCCCAGATGTACATTCAGAAGAATGTTGCAACACCATCAGAATTCATTTGAGGTCAGATTGGTCTTTGCTGGCTTCTGTCCAGTGTCCTACAAGGTGACAGACCCATGCCTAGAGACAGAGGGCTCATTTCCCTTCCCAGACTTTGGATTGCTGCCTGGCTTAAGTGGGCTGCCCACAAATGAACAGTACAGTGCCGTACAGTAGCTATGGTAGAGGAGTACAAAAGAGCTCTTCTGTGAAGGGATTTAATGAAAGAGAGAGTAAGTGATAAATATGTAAAGGGCAAAAAAGATAATGACTGCTGTCATTCCATTTAAAAAAAATTGAACACTTGATGTACTTTTCCTGCCAAATACTGTACGTCTCATTGTTGTTGGTCCTTTGCAAGATTTCCTTTTGTTGTTGTTGTTTGGCATTCTTTCATTCAGGCAATCATTCACATCTCCTGTCATATGGAAAGCAGTTTCATCTCATACACACATTTTTCCCGGCTGAGCATTTGTGGCACTTAATGTTCATGTCAAACAATAGGTGGGTTGGGTACAGACTCCTGTGTCATTCAAGGCCACTTCAGAATAGTTGAGTGACCACCTCATATTAACAATGAAATCTTTATGGAACTCTGACAATTACAACTAATCATTCTTGTTAAATGTTGCCAAATGCCAATGTGTGTGATGGATTTGAATTATTCATACATCTCACTGACTTATGCTTTTTTTCCTTGAGGGTCTGATTTTCTTGTTGTTTTTAACTGTGTTGCAGATTGAGAATGTGGATGCTTGCCTCAGCTTTTTAGAAGCCAGAGGAGTGAATGTACAGGGCCTCTCAGCTGAAGGTAAGAAGCCTTGGTAATGTTGTATGATATTGCAGGGTATATACTCTCTCTTTTATTTTTTTTGAGTAATGTTGTTTTACTTATTTTACCGGTTGTAGCCCTTACCAATAAGAAGATACTCACATAAGAGGACCATGTTAAGATTGTTTGGAATATTTACAAGTGCTGAGAGTGGTTTACTTGTTTCAAAAGCTTTCAGTATCATCTGCTTTATATAGATGAAAGTGTGGATAAGAAGAAGCAGTATCTATAGTTACAGATGTTGAACCCAACATATTAATCCACCCTCTTTTTAGTTTTGGGGGTTATAGGCAAAGTTAAGGGGTAACCACAATAGTTTAAAGTTTGTGGATGCAAGTCTAATTAATGTTCTGTGTCATTTCTATTATAAGATTTCTGGATATAGCCTCCGATTGTGCTGGCTTATCTTTGCTTGAATTGAGAGCTCTTGTGTTTCAGATGTAATACACTGTACGGTTTGAGCAGCAAATGTTATTTAGAACTAACTTCTAAAAGTGGCTTTGCAGACTAGCCTTTTTAAGATGTCTCTAAATATAAAGAATATAGAGTTACTTTTGAATTCTATTTCTGTTGATATCCATCAGTCTTTAAAGAACATTATGAGCCATATGTTACGGTATATGGCTGTGCTCACATGTGGAGAATGTGCTATTTTCACAAGCTGTAAGTAACAGGCTTAATTGAATTAGAAATGAGTTGCACACTAAGGTCTTCTCAGACGTGTGAATGGCTGTGTTAAATTTAATGGTACAAAAAATGTTTAATGTGTTGTGAGTTTAGAACATTTCCAGGAAATGAATATATTGTAGTAATCTCTAAAATAAAACCCTATGGGATTTTTTTTAATCATAGCACATAGCACAGTTGTTAGTCAAATTATTTATTTCTGTTACAGTACATATGTGTAAATAAACCTCTTTAGAAGCCTTTTTATATGTTTGGTTTAGCTTACCAGACAAGAGTACTGAACTACTGAACTGGATTGCTTAGAAAGCTGTAAAATACTGTACATCACTAGGAACAAGGTATTTTTAGGGGCCATACATCCCAGCTGTTTCATGCTAATTGAGCTATAAAAAGTAATCTGTTACTTGTTGAATACAGTGGGCAAAAAAACTTTATAATGTAGTTCATATTCATATAAAGAAAACTGAACAGTAGTTAATGTACACTTCGAACAATAAACTGATTAGATTAGTCATTAAGAGTTTAGATCATCTAAGCCTCCAGGACCACACTCAGTTGTCCCACAGGTTCTGCTAAGCTCTTAATGACCCACACTTTTACACTTTGACCCACAGTTGTACCTACCAGTTGGCTTGAACAATAAAACAGACGACAGCGGAGTGTCTCCACATATGTTGTCTTTTATCAGATCTGTCAAGGACAAAACTGTGAATAAAACAATTCACCACTCTGTCTGCTACCGCTTTAGATGTGGTCTGGATCACAGGACATGGAGATTTCGCCCCATAATTGCCAATTGCACCCCTAAACAGTCTGCCAGCATGCAGATCATTTTCATGCAGAAGGCGAGCTCCAGTCATTGTGCCGATGCCCTGGTTATGTCTTTCTAGAATCTGATAGAAAATAATTACGTAGATGGATCAGATAGATCTCAAATTCCTGGGCCTGCGTGTTGACCCTCTGATGAAGCAGAACTTTTCACTCTCCAGAAAACTTTTCTTGCAGAGAGACTACCTATAATCACACCACAACCAGGTGATCTTGGGCATTATCCAAGCAGGGTGTGGTTTTATCTATTAATTAAAATGTTTTTCTTTATGTATCCATATATAGAAATTCACAAGATAATGTTACTGAAATAAGGAAAGTTTTATCTTCATTTGTCCCCAGGAACGTGGTCTAATTATCCCCAGGAACTAATTATAAGCCTTTAGACCATTGTGGGAGAGGGTGTATGGATGGATTGGGGACATGGAGCGGTTGAGGTCTTTACAGTGCTGCTATTTATGCTTTTAGGTGAGAGATAGCATAGAGCTTTCCACCTGCCTATTTAAAATTGTTCAGTCATCTGGACTGTGTGGTTTTACTTTTAAATATACAGTATTTATGGCAAGCACAAAGTACAGTAGCTTTTATCCTAATTAAGGGGTTAGAACAACAATTGTGTATGTAATTGTTAAGTAGCTACTTGTAAAAAAACAAGTGTACAGATCTTTATTGCTTTGTTATTTCAGTTCCCTGTTGCTTCAGATGTATTGTACAATTATGGAAATCATCATAAAAAGAGGATGTGAAGCATTGTCATTATATTTAGCCAGTTCTTTTTTAGTGCTGTCTTTAAAATTAGGTACTTTTCAGAAAGGATGGGTCCTACTGTAGGTCTTAAAGGTCAAAGGTTTTCAAAAAGTCCCAGCAGAACTGCTGTGGCTACTATACAAGAAGAAATGATAAAGATTAATCAGGAGACACATTTCCATCTGATAGATTTTCTTAAAGCTTTTCTATATTATTCTTGCCAAATTAAACCCCCAAACCTATGCAGCTAACAAAGCAGCCAAGAAGAAAAGGTTAAATGAAACCGCATTTACCATTAAAAGCATCTTAGCATAAGTGCTGTTCACTCTCATTTTATAGGTTACCAGTGTGTTATGGTCATGACATATTTTTCTCTTTTATTCAGCAGAGAGAACAGAGTAAGATAATTTTTTTCAAACAGCAGTACCAAAGAGCTTAGCATAATTAACTAGAATTTCCTTTCTGACTTTTCTGTGAAGTTAAACTGTATGAATCTTATGGATCAGTCCTCAATGGGACAATTAATATATTTTTATACTTTTATGCACAATCTTCTACTGATGTTAGATAAGATCTGAAAAAAAAAACTTTCCTTTCTTTCTGTGGGAAAACAAATAATTTACCCCTGCAAAAAAAACATTGTCTAAGTGAACAAAGTACTGTACACTGCATTGCTCCCAGTTTCATTTGACATTAGTCAGTGGTGTGTAATATTCTGAATAATGTATTTCTCATGTCCAAAGAATCTTTTTTTAGTATACTACACTAGAAACCAAATACTTGTTTTCTAAAACATTTGAGTAGTTTTTTTTTTTAGTTTACATTAGTTGTGTTCCTGAAGTAAACTTCACAGCATTAATACACCCTACAAGGGGAGGCAAACATTTCAGTAGCTTCAACTCACATTTTAAATGGGGTAAAAACAGGTAATAAATGATGGTTTCTAATTTTGAAAAATGCAAACAGCTTTACTTGTAAAATTGGTTCTTACAGCCAGTTTCCTTCTACTGTTGACTTCTAAACAAAAAATTACCATAAATAAGTATACAGCAAAATTAATTTAGTACATGTATGTAATGAGTAAGGTTTTATAATATGGTTTTGCAAGAAAACCAGTACTTTATGGCAGCAATATTATTGCCTACAGGCCTGAGTTAAATTCCAGAAGCTGAGCAATGCTGGACATGGTCAGTGCTGTTGTGGGAGGTCTCTAGGAAATTAGGATTGCTGTGTTGTCCTTATGGACCAGTAGGTAGTGCTCTTTCCTCTGGCCCAGAATGTGTGCATACTAAAGCAATGCCCCAATATGTGACCAGGGACTTCTTATGAGCCTTTCTGTTCTTAGATGTTCTGATCTGAGTTTGCACAGTCTGGCTTATCTTGCTTTTCCCTTTAATTCAGTTGGTATAGTGATTCCCACTTGACCAGGTCTGTTGTATAGTGGGGCACAAAATGTATACCAGTCAGATGGGTTCTGTACTTGCTTTAGGATCCTTAGAGATGCAGAGGGTTAGGTACAGTAAATATTATTATTTATTGTAATTGAGTTTTGAGCCTTGACATTTAAAGACATGTGGATATGTGTTTTGCCATTTAATGTTTTTAACTGTAATATTATATTAAACATAATGAGTTTTTGCTTATAATATCTACAAAGCCCCTGCATTCCTGAATTAGATTAAATGGTTAGAAAAATGGATGGATATATAAAAAGCAATGCTGCCTGTAATGATTTATGCTTCTCTAACTTAAAATGATATCTGCATAAATACTATCTTGTAGAAGCACTTCTGTAGAAGGCCCTTCTCCAAATAGTGCCTTTAAGAATGTGAAACTGAAATTGAAATGATGACTTTTGCAATCTGCAAACAAGAGGCCATGACACTGAGATGTTTGAAAAGAGATGTGAGATTGTGTTTTTTTTTATCGCTGCACCAGCTGAGGAATCTAGAATCTTTGGAATTGGAAATCTGCTTCTGAGATTCTGTTATTCGTGTATGCTTTCAGAGAATGATTGGTATCATTGCAAAACAGAACATCCAATTACCATCTGTTTCAGTGAAACCAGTGTTTGGGAAAGTAAACCCAAATTTTCTTTTATAGTTTCACTCACAATTCTCTTGTTGTAAATGGTAGATATTAAGCTGTTCTCTCTTTCATGTCATCGGGGAATTTATTTATCAATTCGTTTTTTTTGCAGAAATAAGAAATGGGAATTTGAAAACTATATTAGGACTCTTCTTCAGTTTGTCCCGCTACAAACAGCAGCAACAGCAGCAGCAGCAGTACTACCAGTCCTTAGTAGAACTCCAGCAGCAAGTCTCTCACCAATCTTCTGGAGCATCACCTACCAGCCAGCATAAGACACAAGACATGCAATCCAGGTAGGCACTTCCTTTACCTCGAAACTCTTCTAGCAGGGCTGATGGATTGATCATTTATTGATTGTAAGAGATTCATAACAGCAACCACAGAGACAGACACCTCATTACGTTTGCTGATGACACAGCCCTGGTCAGCTTATGGATGGACCTTGAAGAGGTGTAAACATTTATCTTTGATCTTGCTTTGTGATAGTGTCAGATGTAATAGGAAGCTGCCTGAGCACCAGCAGAGTGCTTGTTGTTTTCTGTGCAGTGTGCCGGTGTGTAGTCGTCTGCAGATGTCTCTGTTCTCTAGTGGAGGAGAGAGTCCTTTCGTGGATCCGAGTAAATGTTTGTGTCGCTGGTGAGGGGAACACATTCGGTTCTACGATGAACCCCGTCTCCGGGCGCGTGTGGATCTTTTAAAGCACAGTCTTGATTATCCTCTGGTGTGGTAGCTGCGCATTCCCACGCGCCGCGGAGTGGGGAGTGCAGTGGGAGGTGTGGTCCACTGTCACACTTGGAAAGCAAAAGAGCCGATCATTGATTTGAGGAAAAATGCAACACCTCCCAGCCTACTGTAATTAATGGTCAGACTGTAGAGGGTATCAATAACTACAAGTATTTGGGACTTTTTATTAAAAAAAAGGTTGATTGAGACTTTTTAAAATTAAACTTTGCTATTTTAAGGTAGATCAAACTGTTTAAATAGTTTTCTACAAATCATTTGTTGAAAGCCTCTTTAATTAAAGTCTCATCTTTAAAGGTGCTATATAAAATAAAGTTAATTGTTATTATTAAAATACTGTATAATTTGTAAGTTTGGCAACATCAGATCTGATAATTAGTGGGGAAAAACAGTAAAATCATTGAGGCAAATCAAACCTAAAACGTCCCTCTACAAACAGAAAGTGTTTGGCTAACCCCATCTATACTACTCCCATCTAGGAGATGCCTCTAGATGGGAGCCTGTGTCCCCAGATGTAACAGTAAAAGATTCAGGAATCCTTTGATTCTGAAACCTCACTCTCAGACAATGTAAAATAACTCTTTTATCTCCTATAACAATGTTGTACTGTATTTTTTGTGATGGTAGTCTGTTCTTGTTGTATTATTGTGTTGGACCCTTATGTAAAAAAAACTTTCTCCCAGGGGGTAATAAATGTTGAATTCAATTGAAATTGAAAATGATGCAGGATTATGAAGGGTACACTAGTGTATACTGTACTAATAGGCAGTGCATTTAGATTTACTTTGTGAAGAATTTATCTTGTATAACATTGTGTGTAATTTAGTGTACAGAGAGCTTCATCACTTATTGTTCTTTTGAATCCAGATTTATTGAATCAGACCTTAAAATTGTTCCTTTGGTTTATAAGCAAAGCATTAATTTTCAATGAATTTCCAATATAGAGAGTCCAATATACTGTAAAGAGTCTTAAGTGTCAGTGCTCTTGTTTTTAAAAACACGTGTATATCTCATGCCAAAGGTTCAATATAAGTGACATAATACACATTATTTCATACCTAAACTGTTTCATGCAAGGAATTAATATTTCTAGGAAGGTGTTCTCTTTTTTCTGCTCTTTTAAATTGATTCTGTTCACAACGAAAAGGTGCTGCAGCCATTGACAACATTGAGTCAATATATTTTAATTTAAAAAACACAAAACAGTACATTTATGCACAATTACATTTGCCAAGGTGTGTGAGTGATGGTTTATTGAAAAAATAAAAAAGATAGAAGAGGCAGTAGCTAGAAAACTTGAGAGACCTGGGAAATGTTTCCTAGAGGACTGTATTCTTGGTATGCAGGGTCTTGGTCTGACTTCTACGTGTGACTGTGACAGCAGCTTTGGCATTATTATTGACATGTCTATAATGTAGGTTTGTGTTAAGCACAGTATTCATCCCTGCTGTGAACCACACAGCTGCCCCATTCCTGATATAACCCAGGGTCTTTTTAATACAGTCAGTGACAGGTGTACAGATGGCTGCTGAAGTATATTTGAACATAAGTGAAAACCAAAGCAAACCAATTATTTGAAACATGCGCCAGAGGTATCTGTGTTGGAACATACCAGAGTGAGTCAGGGGCACAAAAATGAGAGACTCAAATACTAGATGTCATATTTATGTTCAGTTTGTCCATATCTTACTTTCATTTTGGTTTACAGACTACTTACAGTACTACCTGAGACTGTCGTGTAAACTATGATAAAAGCAACTGGTTTCAATAAATTGCACATTTGAGCTGGGCTAAAAAGCTTAGCAGAAGCTAAGCTTTAGTGCCCTTTGGGATTTTGAATTACTGAGCTGGTAATTTGACTAATTGCAACTGTATATGATTTTATGGCTCTAGCATCCATTATATAGCATTTCATATCCTTGGGAACAAACTAATGTACTGACCTAATAATTGAAACTAATTAAATAAATGCATTTATTTGTACATTAAAGTGCCTTAAAACATATGTCAAACATATTTATTTCTTGTGTTTGTCATTGTATTAAAAAATAATATGTGTCACAGATATTTGCAATGAAATACAATGAAAACCAACAAAAAATGCAATACTGGGTTGTGGTAAATGTAACATTGTATCAGAGTAATCCTAAAATCTAAAAACCACTAGGAAAATTTAAATTTAATCAAACAAATTAAACATACTGTATTAAAAGAAGAAGTACAGATTTGACTGAAGTAGCAGCTGTTATTCTGATGGAAGATAGTTAATTGGAGAATTATACAATTTGAATGCATTAAAAGCCACTACAGAGAAACAAAAACAGAACCCCTTCTTAACAATGTTTTATTGTTTTATTGTTAAATACACTTTTTATAGGAAATGACTGATGATGCTTTATCAGTTGAGATGCACTGAATAGTTGGGAGAATTCTTGTGTTGTAAATTTATAAACTGCAGCAACAGTCTTTTCCTACTCACTCACAAGTTTTGCTTTTATAGTATGTGCTTCTACCTGCATTTTGTATAAATTATATCAATAAAGAACATATCTGTTCTTTACAGAGAAACCCTCCATTTTAGTTTGCTTTTCCAAGAAGGAGTTTTCTTCATATTTGTTTTCTTATTTGTTACAGCAGTTGTTGATTACTTCTGGAATAAGATAAGGAAATTTGTAATATAGATAAAGCATTCCCCCCACTTTAATTTCAGAATGCTCTTATGGGTTCAGATTCAGTTGGTTGAATCAGTATCTTCTTTCTTTCACTAAAGAGGTGTTACAGTACATAGGAAACAATAACATTTTGTGGAAACCATAGGGATTAAATCTGTGTTTTCTTTTAAATAACCTTCTGGCTATAGTTACAGTTCATGTTTTCTATAGCAAACACCTGCTAGTATTCATTGCTGTTCCTCTTTTGTGTGTTTTACTGGTGATCAGACACTTGGGAGCCAGTGGATTTAGGAAGCAGAAATAGTACAACCCACTCACTGACTCCTAAGGTCCTGTGGCGAATAACTTGACCTCCCTGTGTCTTGGTTTTCACCCATCTTCAAAACTCAGTGAAAGGCAAAACCATCTACCAAATGGAAACTTTGATATTATTTCTAAGATGGACTTCTCTAGGTAAATTGATTTTAATTGTAATGTGTTTTACTTTTATCAGGGGAATTTTCTGGGTTATTAAATATGTACACCAGCACCTTCAGTGCTATGAATCACCGTATGTATTATTTGATGGTAAATGATTGTATAGTTTTTAACTAGATTTTATATAATTATTAAAATTAATTTGGGATGCTTTTTAAATATATTATCTGAATTGTTTTTAGACGCAAAAATACATTTTATAGCAGTTATATACATTTGTATCATTTATCCACTCATTTTATTGCTTTTCAGTCTCAAATTGCAAATGAGCCTGAGTTATTTTAGTGTTTCTGATTATGAATGACATCTAAAAATACAAGCAACTCTGTAAACATGCTGAAGTATTGTACTTCTCAAGTTCTGAAATGCTGATTGATTTCTTTAATTTTTTGGGGGGGACTTCTAAATTGTGGGATATAAAAGAAAAAGTCACCAAAAACCCCTATATGGAAAAGCAAACAGTTCACCTACATTTAAAGGGAGGAAATTAATAATTTGTGTACTAATTCTGAGAGTTTAATGTCATCTTTAATCCTAAGAGCTATAATAAGATTTTGTGAGATGTCTCTCAGTATCTGTAGATGCAATCTGGGGAGCTGTATTGCTAAAAGACTACAACATAATCTACTTCTGGCTTGTCACTTTGGAAATATTTAATATTTGCTTTCATCAAGTTGAGTTTAGGCTTTGAAGAGTGTTAGTGGATTTGTGTATCACTCCCACATGCATTGAACGTCCTGTATATGAGTCCATACAATGAAGGGTGCACATATTGTATGTTCAAAAAAATAAATGCTTGTATTTGCAACTAAACAAAGCTGTTTTACACTGAGAACATCTGTATCTCTCAACATCTGTACCTCTCAAAGCTCTATCAGTGCATTTTATCATAGAATAATTCCTTCTGGTTGACCTTGAACCTCAAGTTATGCTTGTTTTCTCTGGGCTGTTATTCCAATGTTATTTTATGTAATATTAATAAAGTTTTTTGTGTCGCAGAAAAGGGAGAGTAAATGTGAACAGGGGAATGCTACCGTGTAAGAGAGCCCAATCACAATTATTTTAACAAAGAAGAAGCAGTCAGTTAAAGCAAAACATGCTGCACGCTTGTGCTTGTCATTTCTGCTTATATTAACACTCAGTGCCACATTTTAGATCATTGTGCAGGAATTTTGCTGACAGATCCTCTAACCGATAGTCTATAACCTATATATGAGGCAGATTTCTATCTTCACTCCTCATATGTTTCCTCTTACCCACTTGGTGGCTAGTGTATGAATGTGCAGCAAGGTTATTTATGTTACCATGATAATGAACTGTAAGAAATAGTGTGGGTGCAAATGTGACACTATAGATTATGCTGAAAAATGCTAACACTCCTCTTGTTTGGTGGTGGGGAGGGGGGCAGCCCACCGACAGTGAATTGAAAAGTTCATCTTTAATTCAGCAGCTGCAACACCATTATATACCCAAGTGTAAGATCTTTTCCAAGGAAATTACTTGCTTCATTAATCATCTCCAAAACCGCTATTTGCAGTGCCTGAATAGGTTGTTTAGTAAAACGTGTCTGAGGTGGAAGAATTCATGATGGAAAAGGAGCCCATCATGAGGAAGAATTATTTCTGCATGTTTTCTTGCAGTTCACATGGCTTTGTCCACTACAGGGCAATTAGCTTTATCTTCCTAATATTGAATTAGGGGCATATTTTCTTTTTTTTTTAACAAGTTTGTCAGCTGCTGTTCTTTCAAAACCCAAAGGTGTCTGTGAATAGGCTTTTTTGTCAAAGATATCCTGGGAGGTAACTAAGAAGTTAACCAGAAGTATTTAATTTGAAAAAGCCAGTGAAAAGTGAACAAAAATGTGAGGTAAAAGATATTGCCCACTAGCAGAATAATTTATCCTAATTTTTGTGAAATCCTAGTTTCTTATTAGTGTAATCACTGTCTTTAAAGTGTCTTCTCAATAACAGAACTTTGGATATTGATTTGATTTCTGTTTGCTTTGAGTCTCTTGAAAATAACTAATAAATAAATCTGTATGGTGATGAAGATGCATTAAATAGATTTATTTAAAAATGTTTTTGTGTTCTTACATAATGCATTTACCAAATAGTAATAATAATTGATATTGTGGAGGTTCATTTTAAACATAAGGTTTCAGTGTCAGTTTTTTAAACATTTACACATCAGTCTGATTTATTCTTCTAGTTTCCAGAATGTGTTCTGAAAGCTATACTGTACCTCTCTGCACTGTTTTTCTACCACCTGTTAGGAAATGACCCCAGAGTCAAATCACGTACTTCCTATGTTATTATTATACATCTTCAAGCAGGGCAAACAGATGGCCAGGTATTCTAAATGTTAAAATATGCTTTTGTTCAAAATGGGATTGAAATGAATGTGTGCAAAACAGTAATCGACTTTGAGTTTTAAATAAGGGGGCTTGTGTGTAAAAAAGAAAAACAAAGAGAAAAGGCCTTCAAGTCCATAGGATCAGCTTGTACATCAGAATACTTATCGATACTTTTGTGTTGTGGAGAAGAAATAAATATAGTTTTCCATTTATTACTATCGTGTTAGTGAAGTAATGAGATCCATAAAGTTCTTCAAAAACACATAATTTAACCACAGCTTAGTTACCTCCATTTGAAGTGTCCATGTTAATTTTCATCCTATTGCATCTGTTATCCCTGTCTTCTCCAGCACCCGTTCCTGATTGATGTGAATAATCCCTGTGCATTTCCAGCTTGGAAACTAAAGTTTGAGGGCTGTTTGTCATTTAAGAGAGATACACTGTTTGATCTGTTAGGAATTACATTTTCCAACGGCTGCATTCCATTTAAATAATATGCTCAATTTGGTGCAAACGGTTGACAAGCCTCTCTTGCAAATGAAAAAGAGCAAGATGTGGCAGTATTTTGGCTGCTTTATTTACCCTTTAGGCTTTCAGACAAACTAGCTTTCAGTGCTGCTGCCCAGTTACCAAGCTCATTTACGGAAACAAACAAGTTTGTTTGATAGCCCTTCTGTGCAATACCAGATCTAGGGACAGAAGCCAAACGCTGGCCTGAAAACACATGCAGGAACAGCTCCGTGAAGTCTGGGAGGCTGAGCTGTGGGGATTTAAGCAAGTCTCTGAGTAGTATAAACTCAGCTGAGGTGATAATCTTCCAAGTCTGCAATCACATAAGGAGTCACAAGTCCCACCTTTCTTCTATTCAGCATGTAAAATAATTAATAATAATTGCTTACACTTATATAGTATTTTTCTGGACACTCCATTCAAAGCGCTTTACAGACAATAGCACATAGTGTACCAGTACGCTCACCACACATCAACTATCAGTGCGGAGGAGAACAGAGTGATGAAGCCAGTTCATAGATAGGGATTATAGGGAGGCCATGATTGGTAAAGGCCAATGGGAAATTTAGCCAGGACAAAAAGAGGGGTTACACCCCTACTCTTTTCGAGAAACGCCCTGGGATTTTTAATGACCACAGAGAGTTAGGACCTCAGTTTTTACGTCTCATCTGAAGGACAGCGCCTTTTTACAGTATAGTGTCCCCGTCACTATACTGGGGCATTAGGACCCACATGGACCACAGGGTGAGCACCCCCTACTGGCCCTTCTTACACCTCTTCCAGCAGCAACCTTAGTTTTTCCCAGGAGGTCTCCCATCCAGGTACTGACCAGGCTCACACCTGTTCAGCTTCAGTGTTTTCTAAATGTGTAACAGCAAATCATTTTCTTTGTTTCTTTGAATCTTGAATTTATGTCTGAGGAGTTTGTTATTGTTTTAAAGTGTTTTTTTTTTATTCCACAATACCTAAATTACTAGGAGAATTGCTGTCATTACAAGAAATATAAGTAATATTTATTTATTAAATTATTTTAAAATAGTATAAAATAATGAAAAGGAATAAAATAAGGCTCATGTACAGTACATTGTGGAAGATACAGCAAGGCTCTGAAACCTCAATCTTATACAGACAGTGGTTATATTGGTTTCAGCTTCTTCCCAAAGCATTAGTAACTAGGAAGAAGCAGTGTTTTCAGTTCTTCACGTCAACAGATTTTTTTAGAGCAAAATGCAATAAATTGTTATCGATACTGAGTTTTACATAAACTTTGTTTTATGTACTAGGCAAACGCCTGAGAGACCCGTTGAAATTTTCAAAATTGAACTCACCATTGTACCAAGGTTAATGAATAACTATGGTTTGGAGTGCTGGAAAGGAATTCATACTATACTGAAATACATCCCAGTTTTAGTACATTTTTATGAACCTATGTTTTTATGGATCCACTGCTTTTCTTTATTTTTTTAAATGTTTATGTTTAAGAAAGCTTACTTGCAAAAGAATGGGCATTTATTCTCTTCTAGCCAACCGGCTGAAATCACTCCCCAAAGTCCAATGTGAAACAGGAAAGGTTTTCAGTTGCCCTGTTAATGAACCTGCATGACAGGCTATTAAACTACAACAAACATTTTTTATTCACAATCTGCATATTACAGATCCCCTTAAGTTGGAATACCAGCATGTTTGGACATAAACCAAAGCTCCAATGCCTGGTTTTACATTCTGAGATGTTTAGTCAACCATTATTTTTTCAGTTACATGATAGTAGCAGAAATTAATAAGGAGATAACATTGATAACTTTTTTTATAATTAAGTGAGTGTAGACTCCTCATGCTGTTTCCACTTGTGAGGAAAAGAGAACACTACTGAAAACCCCAAACCAAAATTGCGACTGTTAAATTGATTAGAAAGCATAGCAAATGGCCTCCTAATCATTTTCTTTTTCTATTTTTACATTTTGCAAATTAATCTGAATTTGTTGAAAAATGATTTGCCAGTGTTTGGATGCTTAGACCTTAGGAAAAAGATGGATTTCATCTTCACACAAGAAACAGAGCCGGCCAAAAACATGGCAGAGCAGTGTTTAAAATGGTTATATGGAATGCCATCTTACTGTATATACAGTACATCTTTCAGCTCCAAAGTTATACAGTACCTTAGCCCTTATCTGAACAGCTGTCATTCAGTTAATGATTTTTTTTCAAGATTATCCTCCGCTTTATAATGACTTCATGGTGGGAAGATCATGCCCAAAGGTAAAATGAGGAAACTTACTTGAACTGAACTTGTAATCTGAATAACTGGAAAGACTATTACTGTGTATTAACATTTTGGATTTTTTTGTTTTCAGTCAGAATTTGAATTTCTTAACCCTTTTAATGTTTCCTTGCCCAGAAGTTCTGTTTTTCACATAAACAGCCTGTATACATATCACCATTATAGCATATACCTTTACAAATGTTTAATAGTAACATATTCAATCAGCTGTTTGGTGTCTATAAATGTATATTATAGTCATCGCACGGTTAAATGAAAAATAGGCTGTACAGACATCTATTTCAGTAATGTACAGTACGTCATTTTAAAGTGACTAAGGATGACTTTTCTTTGGTTAATTGTGACTTTGTTTTAAAGTATTTTTTTTTGTGCTTGGGGTTTCATACCTGAAAAACTCTCCATGTTTGTTCAGCTCAGATGGACTGATGGAAACATCTTTTGTTTTCAGTCCTGATCTGCACATAAAGTGAGGAAAGCATGAAAGAGATCCTCATGTTCTTGATTATTTGAGTTTTAAATGTTTTTTAACATGTTTCCATTTATTCCCAAAGTATTTGGTGCCATAGTGCATGGTGCAATCATAGTTAGATTTCCCTTTTGCACTTTTCATTGCTTTCCTGGTATAAACTAGGAGATCTCGTTATTACATTAGTGCATTTCAAACGTGCCACCGTGTTCAAGATTTAATAAAGCTGTTAGAACTTATTTTGTGTTCTCTTCTATCTCACAGTCTCACTGCAAGATATGCAACTCCATCAAGCCACAGTGGAATAGGATCCAGTCAAAAGAAGAATACAAGGTATGTGACATGTGAATGTGACAGTTAAAATATGATAAACCCCAAAGCATCGAAACAGTGCAAAATTGTAAGTGGCAAAGACTTAGTTTAAGTTTATCATGAGTTTTAAATGTCATTTTGCATTTGTAAATTTACAAAAACTTTTCACCAGATCGCCCTGCAGGTATCCACGAAATAGGTCATGGCATTTTAACAGAATTACTTCATAATAAGGTAACCATCTCCCTAAATCTCCTCCTCATCCCAAACATTTCATTCAAAAATCTCAGTTGAAAACAGTGCAAGGGACCGGTGAAAGAAATGCCCAGGGTTGCAGCTGGTTTAGTTCAGAGAGCAGCAACCAGCATGAAACTGTGGTTCAGTAATAACAGGATAGATGAAAAGAAGAAAAAATGTAAGTTGCTAAATTTGTAAATGACAAGGGTACGCCATGGTGAGGGAAAGGATTTGTGATGAAAACTCAACAAGTGTTTAATTTAAAGCTACACGTTGTGGGCATTTGCTATGCGTCCACAGATACTGACATTAGCTTTGACATTACTGGAGCAACTTCTTGTGTAACCAGATTCTAACCACATTACTGTGCACATCACTCCATCACTCAGCACCTATCCCACATAAGGCCCTGTTCTAAAATTGTTTTGTTTTGATGGCAATCTACAGTTATATTTGTGGTAAAATAATGCATCAACTACAGTGTAAACAGCAAACACTCATGGGTCTTATGATTTGAAAAAAGATACATTTTTTTCTCTTGCTGCTGGAAATGTCCAGACTGGTAGTAGCTTTTTTATATAAACTACACTCAAGTTGATAGTGTCTGGAGAGTTAAAACTCCCATCGTTAAACCGTTTTGCATGTCTGTTGCACTGCATTGAATTCTTTGTAATGGCTGGTGTTTCTTTAAAAAAAAAATGCAGGGAACAAAACAACGTGACAGCAAATTTTTATTTTCATCACCATGATGTTTTCAATAGGCCTTCCTGATAAAACTAAATATAGCATATCAATAAAGTGACATTTTTACAGCTTAAGAAACACATATCCTTACTTTGTTAACTTTTCTTAATGGAAGTCTCTTAAGAGCGAAAGTTGTTTTGTTTTTATCATGTTTTGAAAATCCGACATTAAAGCTGCAGAGGGATATAGGACAAAAAATCAGCAGAGATAAAAAAAATGAAATGCAAGACAGTTTTATTTTGCACTTGTTGCTGTTAAGGAGTTGTCTAAAAACATGTCTATCTACGCTTCTCCTCTTTTTGGTGCTGCTCCCTGCTTCTCTTGAACTTAGATAAATGAACCGAGGGCGGTTGAATTAAGGAAATGAAAAAGAGCAAATGGATTTTTAAGTTTGTCTTGAGCGTATACTTCAGGGAACAAGGGACATGAGTGGAGCTCAAGGGTCACAGCAGAGGTGGAGTGGCGGAGCAGTTGCTAGTCAGTCTGCAACAGGCCCTGCTGTGAGACAGTTAAGAGCAGGCTGGGAGCCAGCAGGAGCTATAAAAAGCTGATGAATGGGCCCTTGGAGACTCATATCCTAGGGCCTGTAGAATAAGCTGTTTGTGTATGACATCTTAAGCCACTAATGAAATTAAGAATGGGAAAACTGATTTTCCATTACAGAATAATATGTGAAAATATATTGTATTTACAGTACATAATTACAAATTAATTATTTGTCTGTGTCTTGGTAATGCTAGATTTCAAAACAGTAACGGACTTTGTGAGGGAATGGCAAGCAGTCTAGAATTATTTGGTAGATTTATACCATAAATACTGTATGTTAATTCCTTAATCTCTTAAGAAAGTTTTGAATAACCTAATTGCCGGAGTAGTGACCCTCACTAAAATCCTTCAATTTCATATAAAGCTGTAAGCTTATGAATTTACTGTATGACTTAAAACAAACATTCCTGTTGGTGCTAGATGCCGTAATATTCAATTCATAACAGCGGTTATTTTTCTGATCTTGAAAAAAACAGCTGTTCTGCGTATACATTGATACTACCTTGGTTTAGCTTTGTTTAATTGAAAGATGTTGCTTTTGGCTGAGGCTCTGATACGAAAAAGACAAAGAGTCACCAGAGAGATCCCTTGTGATTAATTATTGTTTGTGGGTGTGCATGTCTGTCATGGTGATAGGGGTATCAGTGACACATACAGTGTGCAATGTTCAGGCATTCACAAGAGTCTTAGTGTTGATTAGTTTAAAGGGTTTAAAGTTACACAGTCCCGGCATTTTAACCTTTTGTGGGTTTGTGGAATAAACTACTGAATATGTGCAGCTTTTCAGAATCCATTTTTTTTCAGCAGGTGGCAGTGTTTGACAACAGAATACTGCATTGCATGAGTTTCATCTTTAATTTCTTCCATAGCTAGAGTCCAGTTAGATTTGACATACATGGTCATGTAGGATATTGAGGTCAAATAGTAATCTATGTCAGCTTAATAACATTTTGTTTTACAGTATATGTTTATGTTTTAGTATGCAATTCAGTCAAAACAATGAAAGCAAAAATATAAAACCTTTAAATACAACTCATACTATTTATATTTGGAAGTGACTATACTTACAAAAATTGTACCTTTTTGCTGTAGTTGGCTTCTGTGTATTGTGTTGAATTGTGCTGCAGTATTCAGACAGACATAAGTGTTTTTCTTTTTTAAAATTTATAATAATGACTGATATCATTCAATTTCAATTGGAAATTGGTTTGCTATTCAGGCCTCAGTAAAATAGTTTAATTAATTAAAATACAGTTCATTCTCTCCACATTTAATAAACATGACTCACACTTCCTTGTTGTCTTTTTTTGAAAGCCCAGAGATTTAATTTATTTACAGTATGTAATAAATGTATAATCATTATTTACAGTAAATCTGTTTTTTTCTCTTGGCTCAGAAGTTGGCTTATCTCTTTCTCTTTCCCAGATGAAGCTTATTTTTTGGACTTGATATAAAATATATCAGTGAACACCTAACATTTTTGGTAAAGTATACTACAAAGTTTGTTGTGATTTAAAGGGTATACAAGTTTTTAGAAAGGAATATCTTCAGGAATTACACACATTTAATACAATACACAGTATTTTTTTTTCCTTACTAGTTTTATTTATCCCTCAATTTTTTACTGTGGCTTTAGGTTTAGGTCTGTTCAATTTTGGATTTAGGAGTGCACAACCATCAGGAGTGACGGGCTTCACCACTAACAGTAACACTCAACACTTCAACACTGTCAGTACCTTCATTTTAACTAAACTCACTATTGGGGGAAAATGTACTGTAAGTAAGTATGTACTGTATTTAAGGTTCTTTTTGGATTTTTGGCAATAGAGATTGTAATGATCTATTTAGTACTTTTTGTGATTTGGAAAAATCATTAGCATCTCATATCTGAAAATTATGCCTTAAGGATCGTGGAATATTCCATTCTGAAGATAACAGTATAAGGCATGTTAGATATTTTAAACTAGAATTGATTGAATTCTTATCTGAATTGAGTGGAATGACAATTTTAGGTTATTTTATTGAATCTGCTTTTCAAAGGAGAACTTAGCAATTATCCCTGTCAGCAGACATATCGCCCTGCAACCCACAGCTAGCAACCCACTGAATCAAAGCAGAAGTGAGCCTGGTCAGTACCTGGATGGGAGACCACCTGGGAAAAATTAAGGTTGCTGCTGTAAGAGGTGTTAGTGGGGCCAGCAGGGGGTGCTCCCCCTGCAGTCTTTGTGGGACCTAACACCCCATTATAGTGACGGGGACACTATACTGTAGAAAGGTGCCATCCTTCAGATGAGACGTAAAACCAAGGTCCTGACTCTCTGTGGTCATTAAAAATCGCAGGGCGCACTATGGCTGCTGTCGCATCATCCAGGTGGGTGCTGCACATTGGTGGTGGTGGAGGGGAGTCCCCATTACCTGTGAAGATCTTTACGTAGAGTGTCCAGAAAAGTTCTGTTTAATTGTAAGAAATTATTAATAATAATTATTATTATTAAACATTTTTTAACTCGGTAGCTGAAACAGAGAACGCATGAATACTCTCAATGATTTATCAGCATCCTCTGTACTGGTGTGAAGTGGTTCTTACAATACACCAATAATGATAATACAATACATGTGTTCATGCTGTACCAGATGCACAAACTACTGTATATAGGGGTTACAAGCAGTTAAAACTTAAGCATGGTTTCAATTACATATTTTATTAGATTAATTACTTTACAATCTCAGAGTTATAAAGGCCAATAATTATTTATCAATCATTGTTTATTAGATCCTTCTGAAAGGTTCTTAAAACCATTTAAAATCTCAAGTTAGGCATGTTAGAAAAATTAATGCAGTGAAGAAAATGTATAAATGCAGATTTCTTAGTCAATAAAATAACATAATGAACTTAAATGTGAAGAAATTCGTATGCAAATTTTATTTATCAGAACAGTAGGGAATTGAAGGTCCTGAATGCTTGTCTAAACCTTAATATGAGTAGCATTGCATTTTCTTATTGTAGGATTTAGGTCCGTAGTTCCCAATAATTAACAATTAATTATTAACAAATTCATGATGAATAGATACGTGGAACTGTGTATCAAATATTCCCCCAATGAGCATTTGTTTTCTTTCTGTATGGTTCAAAATGGGGGAATTTTTAAATTCAGAAATTACCCTATAATTGGTTGATACCACTTATAAAGCAGAATCAGCATTTCAAGATTTGGAGACAAATTGAAAAATTAGCCCCAGATAGAATTCAGCTGGTACACAATCTAGTAGACCGAGTTTCTCAAGGACCAGGGCTGAGAATTGCTATCTTATGCCACTGAGCAAAAGTGGAAATAACTAAAGAAATGTGAAATGAAAGTTTCAGGGATTACATCTTATACTATGTTTTAGAAAACATCACATTCATTCTTTTGATTATTTTATATCTTCTGAAGGGCAATAACAGATTTAGACCACATAAGCTCAAGTTTGGACTGAGTTCAGATATACAGTAATCTATTCTTGTTGATACATTTTCAGAATAATGCAGTTACAAGCTGATTCACTTCAAGCAAGAATGTAACATCAGGTTCAGTAAAGATTGTTGTCTGAATGATCTGAATGTGTTAGAATGTCATATGTCCTACTGTAATACAACAATAAATGTTACATGTAAAGTTGGGGGTAGTATGGTGATGCAATGATTAGCATTGCTGCCTTACAGAACTGGGGGCCTGGGTTCAATTCTGGGGACTGGAGTTTGATCTGCATGGATGTATGTTCTCCCCATGTATGCGTGGGTTTCCCCACACAGCCCAAAGACATACTGGTAAGTTAACTGGCTCCAGTGAAAATGGGCCCTTGTGCGAGTGTGTGTCTGTGTCTGTGTGTGCCCTGTGATGGGCCGTCCAGGATGTTTCCTGCCCTGCGCCTGTTACTTGCCGGGATTGGCTCCCGCTGCCCCACAACCCAGTATTTGATCAAACAGTTAGAAAATGAAGGATCGATGTTATGTTGGCATAAGTAAGTAAGTTCAGTAGTTAATTCTGGTTTCAGCTGGACTGAAATAATTAGTCTCAAAATGAACTGAGCATTGCAGGAATACCTTCATAATAAGGTAAATGAAGACAAAGTTCAGTTGCTGAAAAGCCTTACAATATGTTACTTATTTAAAATGCGGGGATATACAGTACTGTAGTATGTGGCTCTGTTGCAGGGTATGATAGTTTGCTGGAGCTTGGCAGCTTTTTTTGACTATGCTAATGTGTTTTTAATTGAGTAATTCTGTTTGCCTTGTAATTCCTGAACTTGTGACTTTTCTGCAGCTGCAACATCTGAAGAAAATGTTTTAGTTACACACAGAGGCTGATAGTACCAAAGGCTCCACTGTCCACCCGCCTCACATCCTCCTGCCCAACCCTCATTCTCCCCTTCTGCTATATGAATTGAGAAGTAATTTTAGGATTTGAAGCTGGGGTGAAAAAAAGCATTGGAGTTTCTCCCCTGAGAGTCAGTGTTTAGTTGAATGACAGGTCTCTTAGTAAGCCCTAATCACTGTCTTTTTGTTTTACAGACTTCCTGGGCCTTCAAGGGGGCCAGCTGCAGGCAGCAGTGCCAGCAAGGTCCAAGGAGCTTCAAATTTAAACAGGAGGAGTCAGAGCTTTAACAGCATAGACAAAAACAAGCCTCTCCAATATGCAAGCAGCAACGAGAAAGGTAGGGGATAATGGGAGTGACACAAAACTGATCATATCAATGCCTGGGCTCTGGGCTAATCTGTACTCACATTACCCAACTTTGTGACTGCTGATACCTTGGGCATACAGCATTTGCTAAGGTACAGGTAGTCAGAGTACAATAATACCGCCCACCATTTCCCCAAAAATATCTTACACCATTTCTGAAAATAATTTGTGGATTTGTGGGTTATAATCATCATAGAGTTCGGCAAATAATCCACTTTAGTGGAAATTCCACAAGGTCAAACCTGCGTAATTTATTTTCTGGAAAACTAAATGATTCCTGAAGGAGTCTTGTGGGATATACACAGTATTTAGAAATTGTGTGGGATATCAGGGTTCAAAACCACAGAATATCCGAGAGGGCTTTTGAAGTTTTTTTTATCTAGAATGACTAGGCTTTTGTATAACATTCTAATAAAGGTTATTTCTTTTTGTTTACCTTGTACATGAATGCATTTATTTTAATATTTCAATATTTTTATGACGATAACCTGTTGGTTTTCGGAATTTCCTCGACTGTTATTACTGTTTCTAATACTGAAGTAAAGTCAAATGAAAAATATAATGAATTCAAGTGTAATGTTGGGCTGATCTGTACTTATGTTCTCTACATATTGTTGTTACGTTTGTTGCTCTGGATTTCTCCCACCTGTCAAAGACACGCTGGTGAAGTGAATTATTGTTTCTATATTTTCCCTTTGTGTTTATGTGCATGTGTGTGTGTGTGTGTGTGTGTGTGTGTGTGCACTCTGCAAGGACTGGCATCCACAGTGAAGTCTTTTGCTTTGTTGTTCTGGGAAGGGCTGCAATTTGCAACAACCCTTATAAGGATTAAGCTCTATTTTGACAATGGATGTACTGTATGGTATAGATATATTAAAGCCATTTTAACAGTTAAGATTGCATAAGGACAGAAAAGTTTATTAAGGGAAGTGCTTTCAAGCCTGACAACAGGTGGTGCTTTGTGAGTCTGGAACAAGCTGCCAAACCAAAATCAGGCAGATTCTTGGGATCTCTTAGTAAATCTCTGAATGAGATTCTTGAATCATTAAGCTTCTTAAAACCCAGTGACTTAGATGAGCCTCCCTTCATTTGTATTCTTTCTTATGATCAAATAATCTTCACAATATCTTCATAGGAATTATTACTTGACATTGCTAATTTGTCTGGCAGAGCACACAGAGGATTAAACACATTTAATTTGGACATTTTCCATATCCTGAAGCCCATATCAGCATTATACCCACCTGTGCACATGCTGCAGCTGTGAATAAGCATAATTTATTAAATTTGTTTGATTTGTTTGAAACATAGAAAAACACTCTCGGGTGTAGAAATAGGTTAAAAATTAGTTTACCCTTGACTGTATTCTGTTTTGCACAGGTGGATGTACAGTTTATTTCTGGTATTGCTTTCTCTAACAGCGTTGCAGAAATAGTACTTTTTTCCCAGAGATAATCCACTCGATGGTGCGTATTACTGCACATTATATTACACTTAGCACGTAATGTATAATTGACTGCAACTAGTATTAATATATCATACAAAGATTACAACAGTATGTTCAGTATTTTATGAAGCATCAAATGTTTTCTTATTGTTCAGTATAAACAATGAACAATGTACAATGAACTGAGTACCGATTAGTGTTATAATTTAACTTTAAATGATATACTGAAAGGGTGGCACCGTGGCACAGTGGTTAGCATTGCTGTGACCCAGGGTTCAATTCCTGGGGTGCTCTCTGCGTGGAGTTTGTGTATTATTCCCATGTTTTCGTGAGTTTCCTCCCGCAGACCAAAGACATACAGTACTGGGTGTGTGTTTGTGTGCCCTGAGATGGACTTGTGTCCTGCCCTGTGCCAGTTGCTTACCAGGGATAGGCTTCTGCTTCATCACACTCTGTATTAGATAAAGAGGTTAGATAATGGATGGATTATATACTAAATACAACACAAATTGTTTTTAGTAATAATACCTGTATGGTTTTGTAAAGACTTAAAACACAATGTTAGTCTATCAAAAACAGTTTATGAATAAGATTTAGGTTTCTTTGTTGAGGCATAAATTGCAGATTTAGAGTGGAGCTGCATTCGTGCAAGTATCAAATGTGACCCTGTGGAGCAGGCTATGGGTTGAAGCTGTCATGCTATTCTCCTAGGTTTGAACATTGAGGCACTTTCTTGTCTTATGCTTGAATTATAATGAAGGCCGCTGTAAAGAAAACATGAAGCAGTCAGTGGTTTCAGCTGAAGAAAATATATCCCATTGTTTGCTTTGGCAGGCCTAGGACTGTAGATTTATGGAAGACTTGAATCAAAGTGCACAGTAACCCTTTTTGTACAGTACTGTTTTTACAATTACTCTCTGCAAACCAAAGTCTGACCAAAATAATGCTAGGTTTTGTCTTCCTCTGAAAGTGTAGTGGCACTTTGCTTTGATGAATTCTTGTGTCAGGAGACAGGGAGGTTTGGCCCTCACCATTCAAGATATATATTAAACTACTCCTGAGTTGTGATTAATGACGTTCTGCCACTAATGCCTCCCTAGGTACGTAAAGCAAACCTTTAAGTCTTCACTTTCTTTTCTAAGAATACACTGCAGGTTAAGCTCAATAGCTCCTATGATGGTGTAGAATGACTGTTGTATATCATGAACAACCAAGAGATTGTGTTAGAGGTTCTAGTACAGGATTGGTTTACATTTTATATACAGTACATGCATACAATATTAAGTCCAAAAAACAAGGTTTTGAAACAGAAATGAAGACATATGCCTTATAAGATTTGGACTACACTGATATTAGGACTTTTTCTAGGTTTTATGAAGCACTATTTGGAGATGTTTTCTTCTTTCAAAACCTAAAATCAATTCTTGTCAACCTATACCTTGAAAATCAAGAGCAAGGAATGGAAAAGGAGATTAAAGTATTTCCTTAGCCTCTGAAAAGTTGAAAGTACAGTATGTTAATAATTGTTTTACTTGAATGTTACTTGAACTTGATTTACTTTTCAGAATTAACTGTATCTTTATTGATCAATGGAGGGCATTTTTCTAATGAATGTCACTGGAGCATATTGATACTGTAATGCAAAGTGTTCTGTTTATGCCACGTTCAGTATCTATAACCTATACCAGATTGACAGACAGCATCTTTATGACATTGATGTAGTCCTGTTGCATTGAAGGGGTCATATTCTGGCTTTGGCACAGGAATAAATAATCTGTGGTGTTTTGTTGTTGTTTTTGTCGTTTACAACTGCATCAAGCCACTTAAGTCCAGCTTGAGTGAGTGAGTAAGTGGCACAGTGAACAAACGTAAAGACCGGGTTGCATAGTTGAAGTGACATTTCATTTTCAGTAGATAAAGTGAGTGCTGCAAAATGTATGTTGCTATGGAAACTCAAAGTCAGTATCATTAAAGCCAGGCAGCTGGTATGTAAAGAAATTTTAAAGACTGCTTTTAGTTACAAACCTCGAGTTAATTTGCAAAAGATATACGAATAATCAGCATTACATCCCTACTTATTTTACAACATTCTGATAATGTTTCAGACTCGAATGAATTTAACAATGGTAATTTCTGGCTTCACTACCAAGTTGTTTCCCTTTTAACCCCATGGGTGAGAGTTATGAATGCTCTTGCTTTGCTTCGTAAACACTACAAGCAGTAATGGAGTTTTTCTTCATTCTTATGACAAGTTTATAGTCTCTTTTACCTTTTATAACTTAAACCAACCACTTTGTAAATCGTTAAAATGTCTGTCACTACAGCCTCTGTCACGAGCTATTGGAATCCATCCTGTTGCTGATGTGACATGTTTGTAATAATTACAAAATAAATTCCAACCAAAGCTACAGTACCTTTATAACTGTAGCCTCACTCTTTTCCTTTTCTAATGCTATGACTGTCTTTTCTCAAAATAGAACAAAATAACTAGCATGCAACAGAAATAGTTAATTGGAATGGTCTCTCTCATGTAAAAATGCTGTAGCTTCATCGCATGTTCATTGTGATACTATTACTATGCTATTATTTAAATATGAAAAATAGGCTTATATCAAAGATACAATATTTTATAAGACACTAAATATGGGTATGAATCTGTGAGATAAAATGAATCAGTAACTATATATGCAAATACACTGCAATTGTTAAATACAATAATGTATAAAGTGTATGGGTGGGTATTTAGGACCTAGTGTTAGCTCTGCTGAGGTAGCTGTCAAATGCAGTGTTTTGTAGAACATATTTTCAGGGTAAGCATCACCTCAAAACTCTTTTCATCACGTTATGCTACAGTAGAACACAGGAAAACATCAGGTGTTCTTATTCTCTGTAGAATAGAAGTGATAAAATCCATGACATGTTATTCATGGAAGGAGATTAGGAAAAGAAAAGCACATTAGTTAGTTTTGAAAAAAATAAAAAGTGGGAGTCAAAAAGGCCACTGAGGTAGATACTAAGGGTAAATCACTAGCACGTAGTTATTTGTAAGTGCTCCAAGAGCAGTTAATTTTCTGCCTCACAGAACTCATTAATGTGCTCTTTAGGTTCTGGAGATTTCATCACACTGGAACTGTAAAGTAAAGATTTGGACAGTGCACAGTCTGCTCTGTATGCCCCAATGTTAGTGGTAGGAATGCAGATAAGCCCAGAATGCTGATTACATGTAGAATGAGATTTAATGCATTAGCACTGATACTCTCTTATTGTTAGAGAATGCAATAAAGCTTTATTGATTAAATACCTAACAGCAGTGATAAGACAACTTGTCTCATCTGTACCTTAGATTATTATATCTTCTAATTTATTTCTCCTGTAATCAAACATTCAGTCAAGACAATCAAATCCTGTCATTATGTTCTATTTAACACTTTTGAAGATGTTGAGATGTTTGCATTGATTTCTTTAAAACCATAGTGTTCTTGATTATTTAATACCCTTTAGATTGTTGCTTTCTTCTCACACAGACACAGCTACTACATATTTATAAGCTATATAGTTAAAACATCTGTGAAAAAAAAACAAGCTTTGGTAAAGTATTCCAAATTGTAGTCAAAATATTGTAATTCCCATTACATTTCATCTTCCCAAGAAGGTGAGACACCCCAAATTTAAAACACAATTACTAAATTGTTTTGGCACTTTTCCCACAGTACACAGCGATTATGAAATATCTGTGTAATTTGTTTCATTGAAACTTTCCATAAGGAAGACTGAAAAAAACAGCAATTAGAATATTGTCTTTTGGGAATAAATAAAATGTTTACTGGACATTTACATCTCTGTGGCTAAGGATCTGCACCTGTGGCTGGAAGGTTGCCTGTTCAAATCCTGCAGCCTGCAGCAGAATCCTACTCCGTTGGGCCCCTGAGCAAGGCCCTTAACCCCAGCTGCTACAGGGTCGCCGTATAAATGGCTGACCCTGCGCTCTGACCCCAAGCTTCTCTCCCTGTCTGTGTGTCTTAAGGAGAGCAAGTATACAAAAAATACAAATTCCTAATGCAAGAAATTGTATATGGCTAATAAAGTGATCTCTCTTACATCTGGACATGCTCTTTGAAATGGAAGGTGGACTATGTTTTTACTGTGTAAAGATACACTGTTACAGTACTGTCATTGCCAGCACCCATTTCACCTTGCGACTCACAACTGGCAACCCACTAAAGCTACAGAGATGTGAGTCTGGACTGTACATAAATGGGAGAACTCCTCAGACAGCTAAGTTTGGTGCTAGAAGAGGTGTTAGTGGGGCCAGTAGGAGCACTCACCCTGAGGCCTGTGTGGGTTCCAATGCCACAGTATAGTGATGGGGACACTATAATGTAAAAAAAGGTGCCATCCTTCGCATGAGACACAAAACCTAGGTTCTTTTTTTCCTTGGTCATTAAAACTCCGAGGGAGTTTCTCAGAAAGAGTAGGGGTGTTACCTGGATATCCTGGACAAATTTTATCCTGGCCTTTACCACTCATGACCTCTTAATAATCCCCATCCCTGAAATGGCTTGATTACTCTCCTCCTCCTCACTCATAGCTGATGTGTGGTGAGTGTACTTGTGCACTTTGGCTACCATTGCATCAACCAGGTGGGTGCTAAACATTGGTGGTGGTGGTGGGGAATCCCCATTTCCTATAAAGGCCTTGAGTGGAGAGTCCAGAAAGGCACTATATAAGTGTAAGGGATTATTATTTTTATTTGTTTGTCACACAAGATAAGTGAATTGTCAGTTAAAGAGTATACAGTATCTCTTGAAAAGCTCATGTACTCTATTTCCACCAGCCATATCACCCTGCAACTCACAACTGGCAGCCCACTGAAGCTCAGCAAGTGTGAGCCTGGCCAGTACCTGGATGGGAGACCTCCTGGGAAAAAAACTAAGGTTGCTGCTGGAAGAGGTGTCAATGTAGTCAGTAGAGGGCACTCACCCTGTGGTCTATGTGGGTCCTATTGTCCCATATAGTGATGGGGACACTCTGCTGCAACAAGGTTCTGTCGTTCGGTTGAGGTCCTGACTATCTCTGATCATTAAAAATCCTAGGGCGTTTCACAAAAAGAGTAGGATTGTTACCCCAGCGTCCTGGCCAAATGTCCCGTTGGACTTTACGAATCATGGCCTCTTAATTATCGCCGTGATTGGTAAAGTCCCACTGATAGCTGGTGCGTGGTGAGAGTACTGGCGCACTATGGCTGCCGTTGCATGATCCGTTGTGCATTGGTGGTGGTGGAGGGGAGTCCCCATTACCCATAAAGCACTTTGAGTGGAGTTGAGTGGAGAGAAGAGCTATATAAGTTTTAGGATTTATTATTATTAAAAGCATGGTGTAAAGAAAAATATGTCACACAATGAACCTTAGGTTGGTGGTCTCCAACATTCCAAAGTCCAGAAGCTTTGCTTTGTTTATTTCCCCATATACTCAGCAAGATGTTCTATTGCTTTCTTTCAGAAATGGTGAAGGGACTTCCTCAGCCTGGCAGCATGAATGGAAATGTCCAAACAGCCACCAGCACAGGGCAGCAGCTGGTCTCTGCCATCCCCTCCCCCAGCTCCAGCAAGCCTTGGCGGAGCAAATCAATGAACGTCAAACACACAGCCACCTCCTCAATGCTTTCAGTGAAGCAGCCCAGCCCAGCCACCTCACCTACTCCTACCACAGAACGACTCAAACCCCCACTGTCAGAGGGGACCAAGCCTTCTGGTAGTGGACAGAAGTCCATGCTAGAGAAATTTAAACTCATAAACCCCAGGACTCCCTCCAGAACCCCTCTAACATCAAATCTGGGACTGTCTGCAGAGGTGGGACAGAGGGAAGAAGATGTTTTATTGGAGAGTAGTGAAGTAGAAGGTTTAAACAGTAGACAGAGCAGTGGAGGATGCACAGGTAGCAGTCCCAAGCAACCCATTAAAGCAACTACTCCCACCACAAAAACTGGCAGCAAGTCTGTGAGCAATAACAAATCTTTGCCCCAGCCGAAGGACAAGGAGGACAAGAATAAAAGCAAAGGGAAAGCAAGTACACCTAACAAGGACGAAAAAGAGCAGCTAGCAGAGCCCTCAAAGAAGACCTCCAAAATCGCAAGCCTTATTCCCAAGGGAGGAAAGGCTTCAGCTGTCAAAAAGGAACATGCTATCCCCGTTTCAAGTGGAATTCCAAAGCCTGGCCTGAAAGTGGCTACACCCACAGGAAAACCGGCCGCCAGCCCTACGGGACTCAGTGGCAAAGACACAGAGAAATCAAAGATTGCAAAAGGAAGTCAGACGTTCTATATTCAGAAATCCCCAGCTGACGGCAGGGCACTGGGTAGCCTGTCCTCGCCAGCAGAGGGAAGACGGACCAGCATGGTGTCATCGACCAGCACTTCTGCACTTTCAGCTGCCATGGCAACAGCAGGTGGACAGCTGTCGGGAAATGGCATCGTCCAGCTCCCCCAACAACAGCAGCACAACCACCCCAACACGGCCACAGTTGCTCCTTTTATGTACAGGTAAATATATAAAGGGAGGGCTGTATACCTATTGGGATGCAGAAAATATTTAACTGTAGGATTTTTTTTGTCACAGAGCATCCCACAGAATACATATGTATGTGAATTACTGCTAATGAAGTTTAATTAAGGAGCAGGATATGCACACCTCGGGAAAATAGCAGAGAACATCAAAACCACACTCAGTAAGGGAATTGCTGAATAGTAGTATTATTCAGGTTGTTGCCAGAGCTCTGTGTCTGCTGTGTACTTTTATTGTACAAGAATACTTATTTATGTAAGAACCTTTTCTATGCATTGCTTTTTGATTTTTCTGATTTTTATTTTGAATAGTCTATATCCATTGGTTAAGAAAAATACATTATATGTTCACATACAGTATGCAGACATCAAAGTAAGTGCTTGTTTCCTTAAAAAAAAGGTCAGTATCCATTGTATAGGGCAAAGACCAATGACATGTACCGCCACCATTTAGTTCAGACTGTGTTTACAGTAATTATGAAATTAAAGAAGACTGCTCTGTAAAACATTCACTTAACATTGGAAATGTAACATTCCAAACAATTCATTGGTGTCATTTCTCTTCACTGTTGCATGAGGTGTAGTGAAATAGAATTCTGAAGACTAATTGCACATTTTGAGGTAGTCTGTTAATAATTTTTTTTTATCTGCTGTGTTTTATTCCATCTGAAACATCGGAGCATAACAGACAAAAAATTAAGTGCAGATAAAAACACCTTCTGTGGGGATATTGAAGCCGTTACATGCAGTACAGTACCTGCATGAAAATGTACCCTTTTAAAATGAGGTGAATACATCAAGCAAATCAGTGTATATTTTACCTGGTTAAAAATAGCATGTGAAAGCAGCATACAGAGCCATTCAAGCATCTGGGAGGCCAGAATCCTTGACTGTGTGTGCCAAGTAGTGGCTCCTTTCCATCTTTCAAAAGGGAATCATATGGCCTCAATCTGAATCACTAAATCACGCCTTCAGAGCAGGTGGTCTGTTGAAGTTGCTCAGAAAGGACCCAAATGGAACCCCATGAATCTGCATTTTTAGCTCACTGATTTCCACTGTAGGATGATCTCATTAGATGATAGCTTTGGAGGACACCCACCGCTCGTCTGTGTTTCTAGCTGTGTAGGAGGCAGTGGTGGCTTTTGAAATGGGCTCTCCGAAATGGGCGAGAAACAGTGAGAAAAATGAGTCATGTAAAAATGTTTAAATGGCCATTTGTTTCAGTTCACAGTAGACATGATGTTCACACACTCTGCAGTTAAACTTTGGAAACATTTTCCTATTTTTTTACCAATCTCCTTTATGTTCAAAAGCATTGCTGCAGAGATATTTTAGAGGAAAATTGTATTCCACAAGGTTTTTGTGTTCACCTACTGTACAGTATCTCAAGGGCAATGACAGCAAAAATATTTAAAAAGCATTCACAAAACAATGAATTATGAGAAAGAATAATGTTCTATGATTTTTAAAGGCTTTTATATGAAAATTATTTATACATTTGTAAAGCTTATTAATGCTATGTAATGCTATTAATGACAGCATTAAGCATTATTAGGCAGTTTAATTTATAGGTAGAAAATACGATGTGTTAGTGTATTGATCACAGTTGAGGGACTATGTACACAATTCAACACCCTAAAAATGAATCTTTCCAACCACACACACATTAAACAGTTTTACAATATAAACATATTTTAAGGAGAATTTCCTGTGTGAATCAAACGTACTTGCCTTCAGGCTGTGAATAGCTCCTTGAAGGAGTCAGTTGCCACACATCATTTCTGTTTGACTGTCCAAATAATAATGAACAGGTATCTCGAGAAATTATTCTGGACACGTAGTGCACACAGCCACTAGGGCTACAGTACATGACATTACATTTCAGCCGCATCTCATCCTAAAAGCCTTAATCTCCCCGCTCTCTCACTCAAAGAGAAACTGTTAACTCTATCACCTGAGAATAAAGCCATTTAATCTCATTTCAATTGCAATTTGACTTCTAGGCCCAGATCCTGCCAGTCAGACACAGTAAAAATACTAGACTTAATTAAACCTTATTAGTTTATCATCACTTCATGTTTGGTAATCTGGTCGAATTGCTACTTGAGGTCTTGTAGGTACAAGCTCTCATAGAATGTCTTCAGTTTTAGCTTTGGTTATGTCCAGTGTTTTTTTTTAAAAAAGGGGATGATATATTTTCAGGAAACTTTAAAGATCTCTGAAACAGTGCTTCTCCATATATTGGTCATATTCATTGAGTGCTTTCACAGGCTCCTTTTGCAAAGGGTTAACAAAGGTGCAAAGGGTAAGAAGCACCTCAGTTTTTAATGGACAGGTCATAATTTTTTTTTACTGTACTTTTCCCATAATAAGTAATACATTTCTCAATTTCTCAAAGGTTAAAATTGGTATACCCATATGTGAAAAATTGCACATCAAATTAGCTAAAAGGCTTATGCTAATATAGCATTTTTAAAAGAAATATACCTGGAATTTTATGCTAGATACAGTATATATTTGTGTTTACCTGAATGCTATTACAGTTTATGTGTACTGTATGTCGATGGCTTGGCTTCAAAACAGGCAGTGCTCCTTTGCCAGAAAGCAGATGTTGTATTTTCGGTGTCCTGATGCATCCTAGATAGTCATTTGATGTCTGACATCTTCAGGACAGTTTTCTCCTTTTTTTGATACAGTGGAAATTAGATCTCTGGCAGCTATAAATGTCACAAGCCAACAGCAAAAAAGTGCCAGGGAAAGGAAGTGACTTTCAGTCAATTAAATTTCATTCTAATTTGCAGATGTCTTTTTTTTCACCAGTATAATAGCAAATCATTTCTGAATTAGATATTTGGCTACACTGGATAAGAACCTAATAAAGGCATTCTAGAAAATGTCAAACGTTGCACAGGATTTTCAAATAAAAACAAAATCATTTTATTTCTTGATGACTATAAATATGCTTTACCATATATTTGTGGGGTTTACATTTGATGAAGTTATTTTTCTAGTTGTATCATTGGTACTGTATAATTTCTCAGTTGGCGAAATGTGCACTAGTGTACTGATTCAGTTATATACATAACAATCTGAATACAGCATCATTTTATCCTAAAGCTATTCCCAGTTGCACCCATTTCATATGTCACAGCCCATAAAAGAAAAATATTTATCTCAGGATGTGCAGGTGTGTTGCAAACACTTTGTTGTGGAATCAACATTGCTATCTTCAAGTTTGCAGCAGGTTTCTGCTTTTCTTGGTTCTACAGTTCAAAGCAGAAATTAGTCTCTAGGTAGGAATTCTTATCCATTTTATTTATTAAAAATTATATAGTTTAAACACTTTTCAATATTTTCTTCTGCTAAACTCTTTCTAATGCTCAAACAATAAAACACAGAGTTGCGCTTAAAAATAAAAAAACTTAAATGTAAACATATAGCACAATGACGCTGATCTAAGAGGCATTACACCATCAGAATTACATGTTGAAAATCAACTGTAAAGAAGGTTATTTTAACTGCTTTTAAGTCTTTCCTTGCCATTCCCGTCTTTCCTTCTTAATTAGATATTTTACATGTACAGTGAAAGAGGGAGGGAACAATAGAACTCCTAACCTCTTTAGCAATCTGTAATTTCCCTCACATTCACTGCCCCAACCTTTCACGAAAGATTGGATATGCAAGTCATTCATTGTACTGTACCTGTGCATTTACCTGAACCTTTCCTGTGTGCTAAAATGTTGATGCTCCTCTTTAATATGATTTGTGATTTGTGATTTCTCTAGAACATACTCTGAAAATGATTGTACTACTGTCGCGCCCCCGGACTCCTGTCTCAGCCCCACAAAAGCAGATCTAGTTTACAGCAAGACTGCCAAACAGTGCCTGGAGGAGATTTCTGGTAGGTAATGAGACTTGACTATAAATTAAAAGCGCCCACAGGTTTTGAAAATGGAGGACTGCTTTGAACATATACCTAAAGGTCACGAAAGAAAAGATTTTAAGTATTGGTGTCATTGCCAGAATACCATGTTTTACACATTCACAATTATATCTTAAATCTGTTTTTATAATCTGGGAATTCACAAGGACAGATTATAAAGGGTAAACAGTGTCTGCTATCACCTAATATACTGCACTGCAGTTTTATGCGGAACAAATGATTATTGATTGCTAGTAGCATTGTCCCTTACAGCCAGAATGGAATTTATTCAGTAATTTGCTTTGCTTAATATTTTCGGTTATGGATGCACATAAGTAACGCAATACTCTTACAGATACAATGAAACATTCTAAACAGATATGAAACATAATCGCAGAATATGTGAACACAAGTAAAAATCAAATAACCATGTCAAGTTTGCAATGTAAAACATGACATTTTGTTTAGTGATATTGTAAATGTTACTGTTTGATTTTAATGTAAGGAGCTGAGTGGTGTGCAGAGCCATGCTGTGGAAGGTTACAGTACATGTCAACATAAGAACTTATGCAAATGAGAGGAGGCCATTCAGTACTCTGCTTTTTCAAGAAATTAGCTAGTAGCAAATTTCTTTAAAAAGCTAAGGGTATACAGTAGCTGTTTTCAGGAGGACTTCCACACAGTAGTGTTCTGCTAGTGTTCTCTGGCAGCAGCCAGCTGGTGAAGGCAGGCTGGTCATTGTTGTCTCTCGTTGATAGCTTGGCGCAGGACCACACATGATCTGTTGGGCTCAGGTCAGGAGAAAAACCTGACTGGAGAAAAACTATCACAATGTCTTCTTGCCTTTGTGATCTTCGTGAAGTCACTTCTTGCAGTGATCTTTGTGATGTTTTATCATTTTGGGGTTTTGCTTTATTCTGCTGGAAAATGGACACTTCCTTTGGGAACGGAATAACACTTCCAAGTGTGTCTCTAACAGTACGAATACCACCACTCTGAACCAAGAATCTGTTTATGTTAAAGAAAAATCCTCCCCAAATTACCACCAGCCCACTTGTTGCTTGAAAAGCGTGAAATTCAGCAAAATTCTCATCGTGTCCTCTCTATACATGTGTTTTTTATCAAGTCTGTCAAGGCCAAAGTGGTATTTATCGGTGAATAACTCCATCACCCTCACTACTGCCACTTCATATGTTCTCTGTTCCAAAGAAGATTTTCATCTACCAGCTGCCAACACATAATCTCTGAACAGCTTCCCAGAATGCAAATGACAAACTACAATCTTTCTGCTGATGCAGGGGTTATTTCTTTATTGTAAACATTTTTTATTAACTGTTAATCATTACAGACAGAGCAAGTTTGAAAAACAAAAAACATACAGTACGCATCTGTGAAGCATCCTTTTCACATTACTAGCCAAGGTCCCCAGAATTTTAATTAGACCCTAATTTAGAAGCACCATGCAATAGAGCCCCTAATATTCATCCCTTACCTGTACTTTGTGTTTTCTATCCATTAATCAGTTCTCCATCCCATAAATGTATTCCTAGAACACCTATACATATGGCCTGCAATTTAAGAATTATTATTTTAGGAGAAACATTAAATGTTATATGAACATGGATATGCATTAATTCATATACCTGTACAAAAAGCATAACATATATTAATTTTAAATCTATATACAGTATATATGAATGTTTTTTATTTGCCTAGTATCCTTTTAGCTTTTTTAATTAAATGTATTTCTTTTCATTATAGTAAATTTAAACATTCCTTTGACAAAGATGCCCTTTATTTTATTCTCTGCTTAAGAGGAAGCTGTCACATAGTATTGCTTATTAGCAAATCTGTGAACAATTTGTTGCTTCCAATGAGACTCCTACTATATGTCATGACAGTATCTATATTCTCCTGTGCTGCAAATCTAAGCAGTAGTGTATTTCATACACAGTACATATTCCAGGACAATATAGAAACCTTAGTCATATTTTTAAAAGTCAGAGCCAGTGACAAAAGGGAAGTAATATTTTTGATGAAACATACAGTACTGTATATAGCAGTTTCAGAGACAAAGTGGGATAATACAAAAGTGAGTCCATGGGCAGTGTGGTGACAGTCTCTCTTTTAGAACATGTCTGTGTACTGGAGAGTTTGAAAATTGTAGTCGCCTCTAGAAGAGCAGTCCTGGTCTGTGTCGACTAGCCCACTGATTGTTGAAGTAAAAAATCTTAAGTTTTTGGGCAGCATCTCTCATAGACTGGTCCTTTTCAATGATGCTGGTATCATCCGGATTATTGAGTTCATTACTCATTATGATGATGTTTTTCATGGTCATATATTTTGCCTTTCTTGCACTAATTACAGTAATATCTTGATATGAATGGCTATTTATACAGGTTTTTATACATTATTTGGAAATTTCAACTCAACTCAAATGCTGAACTTTGGACACCTGATGTTTATATTAAATCACATGACTTATATCAGTAATCAGTAATATAAGTAATGTGTTATCCCAAGGAACAGTACGACTCAAATATCTGTTCACTGTTTAAAATTTAAATAAAATTATGTATGTGCCCAGTGAACTGGTGATGTAAAACCCAGGTGGATGGCTTTTTTTGTGATTCAGCATACTGTATATTGGTATTCGATTTCTAATTATCTAGTAGTTTTGTTGCTGTTCTAATTAATGATTGAAGTACTGTATTAAAAGCCACCACTTTAACTTATAATTTTTCCATATACCTGGTTCCTTGCTACAATAGTTGATCTATGTGTTATTTTCATATTTTGTATGTGGTTTAAGACAATTATGTGATTATTATTTATTATTTTTTGTATTTCAGTGGACTCTTTATCCAATAGTGATCTCTTTTATATTTCAAAACTGGTAAAACAAATTTGTATGTTGGTCATTCATGACCGATCATCTTGAGGTATTTCATGTAATTGTTCAAAATATTCAGGTAAAAGATTGGATGGATAAATTGGGTTTCTGGCAAAAAAGATTATATCTGGGTACTTTGCTATGGGAGTTTTTGGTAACCTCAGAAGGATAGTGTGAGTGACTGTTAAACTTCCTTGCACCATTTAATCTGTGTTCAACAATTAATTAAAAAAAATAGTAATTACTGTCATAGGTGTTTGACAGATCTGATTATTTTAGAAAATAATGAAGGCTCAGTAATGTATTTTGATAATCTTGAGCCTTCTGTTTGAAAGTTATTGATGCCTTGTTTTCTTTTCACGTTAGTCTAAATTTGACTGGAAGTACACAATCTATATCCCCAAAACTATAGGTGAGGAATGTTTTAAAACATTTAATTGAAAATTTAAATGTCATTTTATTGTTATTGAATATGTCCTTGTGTAATTTAAAACTAAATTCAAAATGCAGCAAAACACCTTGTAGCACTGGGAAAAAGATCTGTCAAAGGAGATAAGGAGATTGTAGTTTTGCTCATTCTTTGTCACAAAGAAAAACAATAATTTAACCTATTTACCTGGAGCAATTTAATGAGAGACAGTTTTCTGTCAAGACATGATGTCTGCTTTCTATACAGTTTAAAAATAGTTTGGTGCATAACTGCTTTGAGTCTTGTCTTTTTATTTGTTTTGTGTTTGTTCTGGGAATTTGTGGTAAATACTGAGGACAGCAAATGTTTTGTATTTTGGTTAAAAAAAATAGTTCTAATCCAAATCTTACTTCTTTCTCACAGTGGAAAGTGATCCACAACCGTTTCATTAAGCCCCACCCTGCTGTAAAAAATATATATAAACCAGCAGGGTACTCCGTGCTGTACGTTTAGATATCTGATTTTTGTAAATGAAAACAGCTTGTAACCTTTACACTCTTAATTATTTTGTGTAGAAATTACAACAGAGAGAGCACACTAACTTATAGGCGCAGTGTCAAAGTTAATTTTATTCTAAAAGCAAAGTTTTTTTTATATACTAACTAAAGAAAGGTACAGTATCTCCCCACTGCATTGTGTATTTCATCCCAGACACAATGGCTTGGATTTTTTCCCCTCTCTCCGGGTGCATCTCAGTCTTTAGTAGTAGCGACCCTAGGAGGTGTTGTTTGTAACGAACTGGGCAGCTCCCGATATTCACAAAGATTGTTTGCTGCCATGGTAGCCAGAAGCAGCAGCAGCCACTGCAGCAGAAGAGAGGAGACATGGATCTGAAAATGCAGGCTGAATACTAAAAATGAGACAAACCTAAAGCTGTGCTTCGCTGGCTCGTTTCTGTTCTTATTAAGCTTTGACGTGGGAGACCTATTTGCTTCCGTGTGGCAGCAATTTTAAAAAGAGGAAAATTAAGAGTCTTTTTGCTTTTGAACTGGGAGAAGAAGGAGAGATAACATTATATTAATCTGTTCCCTCATGCCTGGGATGGCTAAAGGAAGAAGGGAGGGAGCAAAGAAAGAGAAAAGAAGCCAGATTTGCAGTTGGGAGGCTGGAAGCTAGCTAGTTATTGGCTAAAGTGACCATAAGTGTGCTGTGGTTTGAATATTATTCTAGTTGTGCTTGAGCCGGAAACGGGGAGGCAGCAGGACTTTTCATCATCATCTGCAGAATGAGACCTGGTGGATATTCGCTGTTGAAAAATCAATTAAATCTTCGTGGTGTTATGTGATGAGCAGCCCACAGGCTTCTCAGGGTGCAAGTGTGGGACCCCAGTAACTTGCAGTGCTTCTGATCATCCGCTCAAAAGGTGTGCGCCTGCTGCTTTTCTGCTCAGATTCCGTTGAAGCACTCTGCTGCTCCTGCTGCAGCTACTGTAGTGAAGAATGTGTGAAAAGTGAACAGGTGGATACCTTAAAAAAAAAGGAATCAAAGGATGCAGAGGGGTGCTGAGCTGTCCATTTTTGAAGGCAAAAGTCCAAGCAAGAGGAGGGCGTTCAACCTACGGAAACAGAAATCCCTCACCAACCTGACCCTCCTGAGTGAAAGGGAGCAGAGGGTGTACTCGTTTGAACTGTCAGATTCGGAGGACCCGAGGGAAGCCGAAAGCATCCTCAAGCAGGATGGGAACGCCCTGTCCAAGGCGCTCTCCAAATCGGAGCATTCTCTCTTCCCCGGCGGCTCACCTGCCAGAGCCCCAGCACCCAGGGGAGGCGCTGAAGCCGGTCTGCCGGTGACGGCTGGCTGGAAGCTGACATGCCAGTGGGGTGAGGTCAAGCCTCCCGAAAAAGTTGGTGAGATCACGGACGAGGAAGGCAGCAGCAGGTCAGACGATGAGGCAGCCCTGTCTTGTGGCTCTAAGGCTACCGGCACCAAGTACTGGGCAGATGAGGACGATGGCTGTGCACGGGAGGGGACGGCTCATTTAGATCAGGACGTCATACTAACAATGCTGGGGGACTTAGAGCAGGCCTTGTACACTCATGTACTAAGTAAGTGTTGCCTGCCAGTGCTGGATGATGTTTTCTTTGTCTGCATTTTACTGTAAAGCTGTAATATTGTTTTTTGTTTGCTTTGGAGGTTAGCTTGCTCTGATTTAATTTTATATTTGCTTTATGTTTACTGTGAACCTGCTCCTTCTACTGTCATCCTTATTAATAATATTGGTATCAACAGGAATAAAAGTCACATTTCTGTGGTTTATTTAGCATGCATAATTGGATTCTGTTTTTATTGCATAGGTTGTAAAATATAAGTAGCACAGATTACAAGACACTAGAAGATAATTCATTTACCTATGAGAGAGGTTTGCTTTTGATATATCACAGTGCATGTTAAGGAATCTCAGGTAGGATCTGGCAGTAATGTGTATATTATGTACAAAATAGAATTGGTCTTGACTTTTTTAAAATAGTTGTTAAATGTAAATTAATTATGTTGCTCAAGGAATCTCAGAACTGTTGTGAGTAGAGAGAATCAACAGCATATGTTGTGTGAAAGATCACAGTGTGTTTTCTAGAAAGAAGATGTGCATATTAATTGATTTTTTTTAAAAAGAGTTACACATGGTGATTAAAAATTGTACAAGCTGATAATCGATGAGGCGATGCTAAAAATGTGCGACTGTCTTGATCATTATTACTTACAAGGTTTTTTAAGGAGCAGCTGTATAGTTTTACTGTGATACACACCCACTGACATGAGGTGGTGAAGGCAAGATTAATACCTACAGAGCTGAAGACACACAGACACAGTGTGTGTCACTCTGTGTACAGTTGAACATACTAAATTGTTGTATGTTCTGATTAAATTTTGCTTGCTATGCTTTCACCTTGTAATTGATTTACATATTTTAATATCTTGCACTGCAAATAGAGCTCTCAGAAGTGTTTGTTCATATTTGAAATATGCTTAAATTATTTCTAAAAGTGTTAACATGCTTTTAATCCATAATCACAAGTGGCAGTAATTTCAGTAATAGAGAAAGATGAACTTTGTCACTTATGCATCAAAAAAGAATGATTTAACTCAATCTTGAAATGTTTTCAAAATAAGGTGTGAATCCAGATTGCATGACACAAGACATGGTATTTTTGACATTGGGATGAGATTGCCTGCATTTAATTTTTGCTTATCTCATAGAGCAGTATGGCTCTTTTTCTGAAAACATAAGCAAGTTTAGAAATGAGAGGAGCTCCTTTGACCCATGGCTCACTGTATAACTTGCCGTTTCTGACACATGTACTTGCTGGTTTAAACTTGCTGTTTATTACTTGTTTTTTGAATTCCTTGAAATCTGGTGTGCACATTTGGAAGAGGCAAGGTTAAATCACACTGTGCTTCCCACAGTTGGACTACAGTTTTCTTGCTTTCAGTTTCTTTCACAGTACTTCGAAGGCTTTGGGTTTAACCTCGAAAGTCTCACTACTTAACTGAGACACTGAGGCCGTGTTTCCCTTAAAGTGCTATTTTCAAGGTTTCTCCATTTAAAAGTAGTATTTAACCAAGGGTTAAAATCATAATTGTCCTCACCCTAAACTTTCGAAATTCAGCATCTCTTTGAGACAAGATTTGTTTCATGTGTTCTTTTGCTTGACTAAATCTGTAAACATGGTACTGATAAATTGTAATCTCATATTTACAATACTTCTTGAATTGAAAAAACTAATGTTATGATTTCTGTAGACATTCTCATTCATATTTCTTTTAAACCAACCTTATTTCTTAAGAAGAAAAATCAGCTTCCAATGATGGAACTTGTCTCTTGTTATACTCTTAGTATTTGAGCAGGCCTGTTAATGTCAGCTAGAGTTGTGGTTGTCAATGAAAAACTATAACAGGATCATCATCCATCCATCTTCAATGTCCTTTTCCAAATCAGGGTCATGGGAGAGCCAGAGCCTACTGTATCTCTGCAAGCAACAGGCGCAAGGCAGGGTACATTCTGGATGAGACACCAGTCCATTGTAGGGCAGACAGGCACAGACATACAGTACACACACTCATTCATAGGGCCAGTTGTCCCAGAAGCCAATAAATTGACCAGTATTACCATATCACCCGGAGTAAACCAGCTTTTAGACACAAAGAGAACATACACTCAGATAGCACTCCAAACCTGCAATTGATTTCAGAGCCCTCTCTCTGGAAGGCAGCAATGCTAACTATCATTAGGTAAAATATTTATAATAAGCAAATCAGCCAAACATTTTGATTTTAGGCTATACAGTAAATTTGAGAATGGCTCTACATACGAGCATATCCTTGAATAATTCTGAGGTTTGTGCACAGTGTGAGCAATGTGGATCAGGTACACAACACCAATGCTTGTAGCTGCTTGTAATTGCACTAGAAATGGATCATTCTTTTACTGTAGGTGAGTCTGGCAGTGTTTCTTTGTCGTTATTACATTCTGTACTGCCATCAAAGAGTAGTCTTGCTCTGTAAAGCAGTTAACGCCATTATTGTTATCGTAAAGCACAGAATATTTTTTTCTGGTTGCATTTTAGTCATCTTGAAAAGCTTGTCTCAAAAGCATTTCAAGATGACTTTACATAAATAAAGTTATTTGTGGATTACAAGTAAGCTTAGGAATTGTGACCACTTATTTGAACTTGCTGACAGCCATAATGTCATGCTGACATTAAAATCTACTGAGACAAGAAGCTAAGAGTCATCCAGTACAGATGTAGAGTACAGTACTAGCATTGCAATATGACTTATTCCACTTATTAATTTCTCTTTTGAGAAGTCCTGAATTTAGTCGTAACTTAACCCACTTGTGTCAGTGTCCAAATCCAATATTTTGTGGTGGCTCGGCATTCTCTTGATGAAACAGCCCTCTAGGAAAATAGAATGATCCTCTGAAGTGACACATTTGTGAATATGTAATCTCACCATTGGGTTTTTTCATGTTGAAAATGAACGTGGACAGTGTGTGCCTTAAATAATTAGATCAGATTTTAACCTTTCCAACTTGCAAACAGCTAACGTGAAGAGACAGCCTATCAGAAAGAAGACGCATTACACATGTAACACCTTTATTACAGCATGTCGGGTAGTCATTTAAGGTACTGTTTTTTAGGGTGCAGTGTTTGCTAGATAATGAAACTGACCCAGGGGTACTATAAGATGTTCAGAGGAACTGCCTTAAGGACTGATTGTATGTAATTACTTTAAACAGGGTCCGGAATATTGGGAGCAAGTTACTCAGCTAAGTTGCTGAAGTAAATTCCATTATATATTTCAAAAAACATATACAATAGGTTTTTCTAACCTTGCTTATGTTCTTGAACCTAACATACTTATCAATATTTGATCTTAGGAGAGGATCCTGAAACAAGACGAATGAGAACAGTGAAGAACATTGCAGACTTGAGGCAAAACCTTGAAGAAACCATGTCTAGTCTCAGGGGGACCCAGATCAGTCACAGGTGGGTAATAATCCCAAATATTGGAAATAGTGCTGTATACAATAACTGAATGTACAAACTGAAAGAAAATACATACTAGTACAGACCTTTTGTAGATTTTGAAACAGATGTTAACAAAAAGTTCATGTTTGTAGTTTACAAAAGGAAAAGTACTATATCTAATGAAAATGAAAGTTCTTGTTTCAGAGCACAAGATTTTACAGGCAGGTAACAGAAGGTCTTTTTAATGCAAATACACGTCTTGAGATTATTCATTTTCTGGATAAAAGAGAAAAAAATATTTCTGGTGTTTCCATACTTTACAACTTGACTAAGTGTCAAGCATGGGAGTTCCTGCATTTATTCTTTACTGTATGTTAAAGGTTTTTCAATATGTACTCACTGGAACGTCTTTGAAAATGCCAAATATATCAAACTATCTGTTCATGCTCCAGTATTTAAATGGTCTTGTGGTGGCAGTTCATTTAAATATTTTCCATCTTGTAAATTTAACAACATATGATACAGATATGTACAGTAGGCTGATGCCAGGCTGTGATATGATAGCTTCCTGTCAAGTCATGTGCTGTGTATTATTGTCTCTTCAAGCATTCCTTCTCAAATAAATCAATGAGCTTCCATTGTTTTCTATCACCACAGAAACAAAATTGTGAAAAAAATGTGATTTCCATTATAGCTTTATGTACTACAATATAATTCAGTCATTTAAAGTTGTATGACCAGTATAATAATCTCATAGTAATTGCGAAATGTACAGCATAAACTGGACAAACACATGCCGTATAATCCCAAGACACAAGGGTGAGTTAAAATATTTTATTTTCTCCTGGTTTCAGTTCTTATATACAGTTCTAGGCTGCATATACCTAAGGCAAGAAAGATGTACTTTAGGGTAGGAAAAATGTTTTCAGTATTTTCATTAAATTAATTTTGGGATGGAATGTGTTGAAAGTTGCTGTTACTTTTTTTTTCTGGTGGACCAAATCAAATGAATTTTGTTGATCTGATTTCCAAGACATTAAGACAACTTGTGCTCTAAACAAAGGAAGGTTAATGGAAATGTAGGTCTGATGCAGGACGATATAGTCATCAATGTCATTTACTTCAGCCAAAATTCACAGTCCCTTAATTTTAAATTGTCCAGCTAATGGAATTTAAAAATGTTAATCTCAAAGAGTTTTACACATGAAAATCAAATTTGTAGAAATACAAAGATTAATATAGATTCTAAAGATTCCTAGAACAGCGTATAGCTTGCTTCATTTATCAAATGATTTATGATTTTTGTGTTAATGCATTTTGTAAGAGGCAAGTTCAGGTCTGTTTGGATTCAGCCTTTAGTATCTGGCAGTACACCTAATTTAGACCAGTATATTACTTATTTGAAAGACAGTTATTTTCTTCAAGGCTTAGATGTGCTAAATTGGGCTATGTTGGCATTGAATTATTACTTTTTCAACACACGGAGTGAGATTGTGATGTTCAGTGATGCTAGGTTAGCAGCAACCATTGATTATGTTCACTGGAAGATGATTCTCTAGTTTGTCTTCCTGTGAAGAAAGTGGTAAATGTGAAACACTGCATACATTTTATACATTTATGATGGAGCTAACCAAGCTTGTGAAATTAATCCTGAGATGCAATTTCTTTTTATTCTTGGGTGTAATCCTCAGAGAAAAAAAAATGCTGTAGAAATTGTTGATGATGTGTAATGGTTTTCACTCCTTCACTTTTAAAAGGTTACAGTTGAAACATACTGTAGATCCCTTTGCACTGTGGGATGCATAAAATACCTACTGGACTGGCATTTATAACGAAATATGTTTGCCCATTGTGATTTATTCATCTCATAGTTACTGTGCAATTTTTCATTTCATGATCTCCGTTATTCATGATTGTTGTATGGTTTTGGTCAGAGCATAGGGTACACAGATGCCAGCGTGTTACATCCATTTCACAGTGCACGTTACAGTGATCATGCTGCATGGCACTGTATAGCCATTACAAAACCTATTACATCTATACCTTTAAAAATAAATCCAATTGATTTTTAAAGCTTTCAGGCTTGTCTTTCAACTCATACAAGCCGATATTTCATTCCAGTCATCATTGCAAAACTGTCACAGATAGTATAGGTATTGATTGAACTGTCTAATCATATTGCAGTGCAGCATCTACTTTCATTTGAAGGTACAGTATATTCATGCTTTGAAACCTATGTACTTTTGTACATGCATGTAATACTTTTAATAGAAAAAAAATCTCCTTTAACAAATCTTAAGTCTTCTCTGATGGATCTTATTAGTAGTATTGTTTGGTCTCCATCTTTAAATAATTTAAGAAGTAATGTAGATTTTTTATACTGTATCTTAACACTTTTAAGATATTGCTAATATTTATGTATCCGTGGTTTTATATAAATTAGCTAAATGTTTTCCTGGTCTTCTTTCTATATAGTATTTCAATGTATAGTTGTATACAGTATGTTCTTCCCACATTGTCTTCCTTTAGTTTTCTAAAACTGTAATGGCAACCATGGAATACCTTTGTGCATCACTGTGGAAATACTGTATAATAAATCTAAAAGAAAGAGAAAATTCCTTAAACAGGCATACACAATCTATGTGATGTCATTAAATATCTGATGAATTACTGCTAAAACAAAATTTTTCTCACCATACTGTGAGCACCATTTTTACAGAACCAGTAGAGCTGGAAAAAGTGAAGCATTTCCTAGTAGGACTTTGTAATCTGTTGAAAGCCACCTTGAAATTAATCACAGAGCTGTGCTAAAACATCCAATAATAACATTTTTGAATTACAAAAGGGACTTTGAAGGAGGGTGGCTGCACTCTCTTTCAGGTGATAGTATGTTAGCATCTGAGCTTTGAGCTGTGCCCCTGCTGCATACAGATTTTTTGTTTAAAGGCCCACACTTCTTAGTGACAAACCAGAAGGGGAAGGTAGAAGACTTATTAGTGCTGTGGCATTAAACCAAAACGTTACAGCACACGCTTTCTTCACATGCCAGTTTCCCTGTCTCAATCCCTTGCAGCACATTGGAAACCACCTTTGACACCACAGTGACCACAGAGGTGAATGGCCGGAGTATCCCCAGCCTGTCCAGCAGGTCGTCTCCCATGGCCTGGCGGCTGGGCCAGTCGAGCCCCCGGTTACAGGCCGGCGATGCCCCCTCTCTGCCCAGCGGGTACCCTCCCCGCAGCAACGCCGGCCGCTTCATGCACACCGACCCGTCGCGGTTCATGTACACCACCCCTCTGCGGCGAGCCGCCGGCGCGGGCCGGGCGGGAGGCGTGGCCCCCGCTGACCTGAGCGAGAAGGGAGGTGCCGAGGGAACTCTGGAAGCGGACGTCGCGGGTTACATGAGCGACGGAGACATTCTCGGCAAGAACGTCAGGACTGATGAGATCAGCAGCGGGTAAGCCAGCGCCTTCAGTTTTGTCTTTTACTTCCGTCAACTGGCATTTGTAGTAGTAAGTGAAGCTTCTTAAGGCTTCCATCTTATTTTATCTCAGTGGGAAAGGAATGGTATTGTACATTGCCAAGCCATAGTGTAAGTCTTGAATTCTACTGACAATGTGTATCCCTCAGAGCTACTGTATTTACTCTACTTATCTTAAATGTAATAAGTGCATTTAATTAAAAGAGGAGGACACTCCTTCAGTTCATATAGGGAAGGGCGGAACACATATTTCCCTTGACAGTGCATGTAATACTGGTGTTTGGAATTAATTAAAACAGTAACAATTACAGTATGTAACTGGGACAGGTGAAGATACCTTGGCTGGTTAACACTTTTATTTTTTTATTATTATTATATATTATTTATTATTAATAATAATATAATTATATTATTATTATTTGTATTGATGTTGTTATTATTATTATTATTATTATTATTATTTATAATAAATTCTGGACCTGGGTTGCTATCTGCATGGAGTTTTACAGTATGTTCTCCCTGTGTTTGCATGACTTTTCGCTGGGTGCTCTGGTTTCCTCCCACAGTCCAAAGACAAAGTGGAATTGGCTTCTGTAAACGTGGTCCTGGTGTGAGTGGGTGTGCCCTTCAGTGCACTGGCAACCAGTCCAGGGTGTTCCTACCTTGCGCCCACTGCATTCTGGGTTAGATTTGGTCACCCGTGACCCTGTACTGAATGAAGTGGTTTAGAAACTGGGTGGATGAATATAATTTAAATATAACCTAAAGTGCCCTGTTATCATGAATTATGTTTGTCCAGTTTGATAATTTTTTATATTTATTAGGCAACGACATGTAAAGATCAATATTTCTAATATAGATGCATAATTCTGGATTCAAAAACTTCTATTGTGTTTGATAAATTGCCTTTTTATAGCCTCTATAGTACATAGATATTTTCCTCACAAATAGAGTGAATGTTTTTATGAGGGCAAATATTTTTTATTTCTTAATACTCTTTGCGTGCCGATTTCTAAGTAGTATTCAGAAGGATGTTCAGCATTTTTCCTTGGAAAAAACATGCAATTTAAAGTGTTAGATGTCAGCACACTTTGCCAATTGCTTTCTTTCACACTAAATCTAAAGCACGTTTTTTTCCAAGGTCAGCTATTTAAAATGTGCATTGAGCTGCAGCCAGGAGTCTCGAGATACCTCAGAGCTTTGTACATTTGTGCTTACAGACTGAAAAAAAAAGAGAAAGACCACCTTAGCATCTACTGTATAAGAGAGGATAAGAGTGTGTTCATGCACTGCTCGACGTGTTCCTTTCTGACTCAAGCATTATAGTCATGCTCAGTCAGAAAGAATCAGAATTGAAGGACTGATTTCTGTAGCACTGGGGGAAAGAAACAAGGCCAGTTTAATGTCAGTGCCAGTGGTCAGATAGATCCCCAGAGTAAGTCACAGTTAACTCAGTAGTTATGATGACAGGTAAGGTAAGATGATGGCTAAGCCATGTTTCTTAGAGTGTGTGCAGGCTGAGTAAAGTTCTGCAGTATAAGGAAATGAAACTGGCTGTCCTTAATATATATAATCCTCTGTAGGATAAAACATTCTGTTTTATATTTGGTTTTATTTGAAATGCAAGGGTGGAGTAGGCCAGCACTCAAACCCACGAACCTCAATTCAGCAGGTTTTATGGGTCTCCCCCAAGACATCAGTTTCTAAACATTAAGAGCAATTCTGTTTGACTGAACAGATTGTTCACATAGGGAGTTAAGAAACCATTTGAAATAAAAATATGAACACTCTGTAGCTCTCAAGGGCCACAATTGACTGTTCCTGCATTATAGTAAAATGTGTATAATACAAAACTTATTTTTTTCTTGGACGTTATATATACAGTAGCAAATGTGTAAAGGGTCCCTTGCATATAATGAGTATTTCAAATAGGTAGCTGCGTCAGCATGTGTAGGCTGCAAAGGAACAATTGAAGGTTTATTCCATGCTGAAAGGAGAAGTAAAGAAACACAAAATTGTGGCTGTGGACCCTTCTTCAGGTGTCTTAATGAGTAGTGTTTTATGTATTTAACTCATGTCTTAACCATGGTGTGATGCTAAGAAAATATACCCCTCATCTAAATGTAAATAAATTAATACAGTAACAACATTCAAACTAAAACATTTACATAGTAATTAACTGGGTTCAAGCATACACCATGCTCCTCAGCAGCACAGTTTGCCTTGCTCTTTTAAGATCATGGGAAAGCTCTTATATATCTTATACTTATATATAAGTATAAATAAGAATCAGAAATAACCAAGCTTATCACAGCATACAAGTTCTACAGTATGTTTTATATAGTTTTATATAGCACAGCATTCTTATACAGTAAGTAATAATTGGCAAGCTTAAACGAGACATTCATTTACAATAAGCAACATGATGGTTCATGGCTATATAAAGATATTAACAATTCTGTGACTCTGAGGCCTTGCTAAAAATGGAAATGTATTCGTATAAATGCTGATTCCTAATTGTGGAATTCACAGGCTGAAAGACATCATTTTTCCACAAAGGCATAATTTGAGCAGCATGGCGATGCATTTAGAACCAAGAAAATGAGGCATTTATTTACGTTGTGGGATTATGGAACAAATTACCAAGCCTTGTTGTTGAAGCCACATTAGCTTCTTTAAAGAAATGGATGGATGATATCCTTGGATTAAGTTACCACTAATTACCAAAGATTCTTGAATCAATTCAATTCTAAGTATTAAACAGACTAAATGGGATGGATGAACAGAAAAAAAAAAACCATAATGGCCATTAAGTAAAGTTGAGGAAGCTTCGTTATATGAATGTATACGTTACATACCTTGCTTCAGATGCTTAATTGGATCCATGTGAGAATGTGAAATCTCCACCCCTTCACCAGCAATACTGTAATTTGGTAATTAATCACCATGGTGGCTATTTACAGTGATGTGCAGCTATATAGTAGCCTCTGCTGGTGATACATTTGTAACTGCATGAATTTCTTAGACTGCCAAGTTTCTACCTTAGGATTTATCATTCTTCCATCTCTAATAATAATATTGCTCAGGCATTAGGAAGTTTTCATATCTCCTTTTAATCTTAAAACACTCTGTTGTATTGAAGATTCACTTGTACTCGTACTCACCTATCGCACCCTAAAATTCACAAGGTTTTGTGTGAACTTGAAATAACACTTTTATTTTTTACCTTCTGTAAAACTGGAGTTTACCTTAAGTAAAAAAAACAAGCAAGTCAAAATTGATAATTATCATGGCATCTGGACTGACAGTGTGTAACTTTTAAAACTTGAATTAATAACTTCACAAGCTTAAGTAAAATCTAATCTCAGTATCCTATATCACAAAAGTTTTTTAAATGCACATTTCACAATGCCCTGTGTCACAGGGGTACAGTATACTGTAATTTGCAGGGTGCAGATAAACTGTTTTCTAGAATATCTCGATTCAGTGATATTTGATTGACCATGTGAAATAAACAAAATGTAAACATTTTGTAATTTTTTTAAATATGCACTGATTTTTTACAAATGTATTTTCATTAGCATCCACACATACAGTACTATGTTAAGAGTTACAATTAATTTCGTTTCTCTACATGTCTGCAATTTACAGAAAGACAACTACTGTACAGTATCTGGGCTGAATTACTGTAGGAATTGCCCCGCTTTTTTATGTTTTGTTTTTTTAAATGCACAAATGTTAAGACGTTTTTTCTAAGTGTTTTTTTCACAGACATACAGAATATTGACTGCTAAGGGTTATTTGACCCAATGAGTGATAACTAGCTATAAATAGGTGATAATCTGAGTGCTGATAATTTATGAGAAATTTAACCTTCAAATGTTAAGTATTCAATAACCACGGTCTCCTTACTCCTTACAGTAAGTCTCCTTACTGTCAAACACAGTGTAGAAAGTGTAAAACAAACATCAGAATCAAATACATATTATTAATATTTGATTATTTGATATGACTTTGACAGCCAGTTGTACCTTCACAAAATCTCAAAATAAATGCCTCACAAATGATGATAAGAAATTATAGCACATAAGTTAATTAGGAAATGTTTGAGTTTTTTTTTTTATTGGAGCCTTTCTTCAGACCCAGGACTAAATGTTCTGAATTTATTTCAAGTTTAATTCTATAGATAGAAGGCCTACAGTTAATGTAACAGTGAAGGTTTTTTAATCAGTCTACACAAATGTTTATCTTGAAATTCCGCTCATTATTATCTATACACTGGGCAGCATGGTTTTATTATCTGATAGTATTAGACATAGATATTCATGTCTGCCAGAAGAAATATGTGTAATTTTCCTATAAAGGTATTAGTGTAACATCTGGCAAGTTTTGAAAACTAAGCTGCAGATCATTTAAACTTTATTAGAACCCCAGGGGTCTTGAAAGATAGTCTGTGTGATCCTAGAGACCTCTCTGACAGCTTTACAGGATTTGATTGAAAAGCTCACAGTCCTTTTTTGGTGGTATATATAATGGGAGGAATTACAGTGCCCTCAAAACGTATTGGGGCAATGAAGTCAAAACGTATTTTTACAGACAAGCAATTTTTATTTGTGTTCGTGAGATTAATATGTAGTATTAAGTTTAATAAACTGTACATTTATTTATTTTGGGGGAAATTGCAAGCACATTTTTTCCATATTAGAACAAACAATAATTTGTGTGGGCAGCTTGGTAATACAGTGATTAACATTTCTGCTTTGCAGTGCTGGGGCCATACAGTAGATTCAATTCCAGACCTGGGGTGCTATCTGCATGGAGTTTGTATGATCTCACTAGGTTTGCATGATTTTCCTCCGGGTGCTCCAGTTTTCCACCTTAGTCCCAAAACATACTAGTAGTTTAATTGGCTTCTGGGAAAGTTGGCCCTGGTGTGTGTGTCTATGCTTGCTTTCTGTCTGCCCTGTGATGGACTGGCATCCTGTCCAATGCGTACCCTGCCTTGTGCCCATTGCTTGCTGGGACATGCTCTGACTTCCCTGCGAGCCTGAATTGGAAGGAGCCAATTAGAAAATGGATGGATTATCTAAACAATATCTTTATTACTGAGCCTCCTTCCATAGTGACAGAAATGGAATAGGGATCTGCCAATTCAATCTGACTGCTACACATGGAGGAGCCAGCTTTGTTCTCTCTTTCCAATCATACAGAATTGCTCAGCAGTGCTCAGAATGTTTCCAACGGAGCGAAAATGTATATTCACACAGGACCAGCTGCTAGTTACCTAACCCACCCACATTATTAAACTTCTTCTTTAAGAAAACATTTCATACTTATAGCTTTGATGTAATATCGCTCTTATTTAATCTCTCAATTATGTAATTTCCTTTTGAGCATGAGTTGTCAAGCATAACACTGATGAGCATGTTATAAAAACTTAATGTTCGTGTCATCTCTGGCAAGACAAGGTTCCAATTCTTCTTTCGAATGTAGTTTGGGAAATTTGAGTTGCTTTTTTTGTGGTTCAGCCTCACAAAAGGCTTCTTCTTTTTAACCTGCCCACATATTTATTTGAAATAGTTTTCCACAAATTGTATTCTGCCGGTGCCAGTTCATATTGGAGATGTTAACTAGTTGCCTTTGTAATTGTAGTTGCTTTCCTAATCACTTGCCTCACAGCCTGTAATGACAAGATACATTTGTGCCCTTTTCCTGTGAGGGCTACCACTATCAAGTATTACTGTTTTAATACTGAACACTGTAGTGGAAAATAGTAGTTCCAGCATTGGTGGAATCTTTCATACTGTAGGTATGCCCAAACTTGTGGAGGTCAATGATCATTTGTCTGCTGTCTTCAGAGAGTTTGTTGACCTTAATCATTATGATACATGCTGCTACTGAATGTCTTCTAGGTGTTACTTACTTTTATACCCCAGGAAAACAGGAAACCTTCTAAACCCCTGATATACTGTAGTTGGGGAGGCTTGTGTTTCACTTTCAAAAACCAGAAAGTCGATATTTGATGTTTGTAACAGTTTATAAATTAATTCTTACTGTTAAAGACTGTTTTGTTATTGACTTAAAGAGTGGGATTTGTAGACTTTAAATGGATCCGTATAGAAATGTATTTGGGAAAAAAATGGGTTAAATGTTGGTCCTTCTTCCCCGACTTATTATCAAGCTTCTGAATCTGGAGAAATGGTAGGATTCGTGGTCATTGTAACAGTCTGGCATTCCTGTCACTTCGAATCCAAAATGATGTGACAGTTTTGTAATTCCTCATGGCAGATACCTGACTGATGGAGGTCTCAATCTTTACTCCCGCAATGTGCATCGTGTGCCGGACCTGGCTGCCTCCCGTGATGTGATCCAAAGGGGAGTGAGTGAAGTGCTGGGGGATGCAGACAGGTAAGAATTTGGCTTCTCTTTTTTTGTGACCCTTTGTTCCCTTTGATATGGATCTGAAATCAATGTTAAGTGTATAGATGGGTGAATCATGTGCCCTTGTTTGTAGCCTTCATTTTTTTTATTATTTATGGTCTCAAGTGGTGGCATCCAGTAAGATTTTTAAGCTAAAATGCAAAAGATTATTGGGATACAAATCCAATCATTTGGATTATTTGGATTGACCTTCATTGTTTGTTTTTTTTAATGCTTGCCTTTTCAAAGCCATCAAAAATTGTACTTGAATGTCAAAATGGAAAAGCAATAGGTATTGTGACTCTGCTGAATCCATTGTGCATTCAACCTTAGAAGTGCGTTTGAAAAATGGTTCAGCTTTAATTCATTGCTTCACTGCCTTAAATCAAAGCCGTTTTTTATTTCACAGAACATAGTGAAACTCATAATTCATAGTTCACACAATCGTAGCGGAAAAGAAGTTTCATATAGATCAGACATAATTTCTGGAAAAGATGAAGTTGTACTGTATGGCAGTATTAGTACTTGTATTTATAAGAAATTTCTCCATTAGACGTTATAAAATGCAGTGTCATGATGGATGAATACTTATGGAGGAACATATTGTCTAACAGTAAAAAGAAACATTTATGTTACAAGTTGTACAGTAAATATAGGGTTCCCATAATTTATTGCTTGATTTAAAAGTATAATTCTTTGTTACACTTTAATCTAGAAAGAGGAAGCCATGTAAATTCAAAACGATCATAATGACTAAGTTTGTGAGATTAATGATAGATTAAGATCTACATGTTTAATGGATTATCCATTGTTTGTTTTCTGTGCAAATGAATGTTACTTTGTTTTAGTTCACCCCCTTAAAAAACTACACAATAACTGTTAAAAGTCCTCTAAATAATTTGATAAACAGCTTTGCATGTGAATTTGTTGTTGGATCTACTGGGATCATGTAGAAATCATATACTGTAGGTCATATCAAAGTGAGGAAAGTGCTGTCATAGGCAAACTCATGGGCCCTTAGTGTTGGTATGTACCTATTGTTGGATTAGGACCACCATTACAGAATTAGCTTTTTGATGGTAGTCACATGTGACAAGTGTCACAAATAGATTTTTGCAGCTTTAGGTGATTCTTTTGGCATACTCAGACGAAGAAGATGCAATCAGGACTGATGTTATGGAGCAGCGTGTTGTAACAACTGCCCTCATTTATATCACTTCTGCCTATTATGAGTACTGTATTATACATAATATAATAAACATTGCCCAGTTTCTGGTATACAACGTAGAGTTACACAGCACAGGCAGATGTGTAGTCTTGTGCGTTTGGAATTGCTGTTCTATGGCAACCTCTTTTGAAAAATGTACTTTTAGTTAATACTGACTCAAAATGAATAAGAACCTCCTAATAAAGAGATTGGGCAGTGGAGCTGAACTTGTTTTTACACTAATTGATTTCCATGTTAAAGTGTTTGCAGTCTTTGGGATGTCTATTAAAAATGCATGGCCTGGAGTCTGTGATATGGATTGCTCTCAAGTTGAAGTAGAGCAGAAGAGGCAGGGAGCTGCAGAGCACAACAGGGTGATAGTAATTTATTTTATTCACAATTTTACTGAGTCCTTGTTCTAGCTGTACGAGCACCTATTATATTAATTTTAAAGGTATAAAAGCTGAAATAGATTTGGTTAGATATGTGTATATTCAGCATTTAGATAGTTGTTTCATTTTTTATGTGATTTGTACAGAATTGAAACAAAATACCATTAATTGATGTTAATGTTAAAGTGTTTTGTCCTGGTCTACACCTTATATTTAATGATAGGTAAGATGGGTACAAGTAAAAGTGGAAAATAAAGAATTCCTTGTATTTATACAGTATAGCACTTTTCATTCCAAGGCATCTCAAAGTGCTTATCATTCTTATTCTTGTGAAAAGTTTATTCACCCTGCATTTCTCAGAAAATTCTTCCTTCTCACCACTCGTGCATCAGAAAATATATTCTAAATAATCTTTCTTATTATACAGTGTATCCTTTTTCTACATAAACCTCGGGGGGTTGTTTAGTACAACTTAAGTATAAATTCTGCTTTAGCTCTCTCTTAGGGATTGCAGGTTAAATTGTAGCTGGTTAGGAATATTCAGTGCTTCAAATCACAGTGAACTGTGATAAGAATTTAATTAAAGCACATGTAATGGGTTAATTCACACCTTACATCTTACTAAGTATTTTTAACTTCAGTATTTTAAGCCCAGCACATTTTCATGAATGGAGCTTCCTTGAGGCTGTTCTCTGTTTCAAATCAGCCTTCTATCACATTGTGAAGTTTGGGGAAGGCTGTTTTTCTAGTGAATATGAATGACACATCCCTGCACCAAATGCAAAGCAGTCTCTTGAAAATGAGAGAGGTGTCCAGGACTTTCAATCTCAAGACTAGCTACCTAGCTCCTCTTTTTTATTTACTTATATCTCTGCAATGAATTCCCATTGTGACCACAGGGAGAGTTTGTCTACATATCCAGTGGGCAATGTACTATATTATAGGAGCAATACAAGATAATTGACTTCCACTATTTATAAATCCCTTAGCAGCTGGTAGAATAAGGATTTGAATATTGCAGAAGAAAATTGGTCATGGCACAGTGTGAATGAACAGTATAACATGGACAAGGATATGGTGTTTTTGTCTTGTTAATGGACTTATGTTAAAAACATTGGCTAAAAATGAATGTGAGGGAGGTGGGCATAAAACTTTTATGGGTGTGAAAAGGACATTTAATCAGATGTTTCTTGAGGTACAGCAGGTAGGTACAGAAACACAAGGCAATATACAATTTTTCACATTTGGGAACCCTGCTTTAAGAGTCAGAGAGAGTCCCTTACCAATGGATATTTGAAAATCATAGTTCATCATGCTGGAAAAGGAAAAAAAATCATTTGGAAGCAAAAGGAACTGTTATATAAAGGAATTCAGTAATGTTTTTATCTACTGTAAGCTACTGCTCATCATCATGAAGAATGTATTTTTATCTACTGTACAAATGAAGAATTATATAGGTCAGCATCTTCAAAATCATTTTATTTAAAAAAAAGAGACTTCTACAGAAAAAAGAGCAGGTACTGTAAGCAGCTTTGACACCTGCCTGGATTCTACAGTCCTACAGCTTTCTTAGAAAAAAAATCTCTGTACTAACATATTCAGGCTTGCAAATGTGATTGTAAAAAGTAACAAAGCGTAATATTAGGAAACAGCATGTTAATTTAAGCATTATCTTAGCCAGATGGCATTTAATAGGTTTTGAGAAATTCATTTCTTGCAGAATGTTCTTTTTTGCTTCACAATAATCATGGCCTTTCAAACAGATTGGCTTCGTCAGAGCCTGCTTTCACAGTACTTGTGTTTCTGTTATATGGCCTTGCACTTGGGGGGAAAAATGGTAGTTTAGATTTTGTTCACTAGTTTTAGAATTAAAATCTCTTTACTCTCTGAGCTTGCATCACATCACTAAAAAACTGTGACTGCAATCTTCCATGTAGGATGGGGTTGGGATTAATTAACCAGGATTTCATTGACTCCCAGTGAAACAGTGACCCAAGCAACGTACTGTAATGAGCCAGCAGGCATTATGATACAGTCAGTGAGGGATCTGCCTCTGTAAATTGATGCAGAATCTCCTTTACGCCATTGCAGAGCCTGTTATGTGTCAATGTTGAATGACATTGCAAAAATTAAAGTTCTTAAAAAATAGTAACTGTTTAATGTGGTTGCAAAAAATTAGTCCAGCTTCACTTTTTGTCTGTGCTTTCATTCTCCCCATGTGGGCGTAGGAGTCATTGCTGTCAGGTTTAGTGTAAAAACTGCAGTTGGTGATTCCAAAATGAGCAGGTATGTAAAAAAGTTCATTCTTGAGAATCATGATTTTTTTAAAATAGTTACCGTTTTTTTTTTGTTATGCCCACCTGCTTTTTTGGAAATGCCAGCTGTGTGTTTTGCATGCCTTGGCTCACAGCTACAGTATGAGCTCTGTGACCTCATACACAAGGGAATGTGGAAGGGTAGACATATTTCTCTCACCTGCCTACCTTTGAGCTACTTGTAACACATCACAGGCAGCAGAGCCCTCTGCCGGAGATTAGAGAGGAGGCAAGTCCGTCATCGAATGCACCGCAATCCTACAAGCACTTGGGAAGCCAAAGTGGTTGCTGGGTTTGCTGAGAGGACTGGTTGACTATTCCCACACTTCCCCTGGGGGCATTCACTCAATTTTTCTCCACCGCTTGAGGAATCCCAATCACTGTCAGTTAGTGATTTTACCCAGGATTGTACCCATGATGCCTTGGTCATAGAGCTGAACCTACATTCAAGGGAGTGCCTTTACAAGTTGAGGCACTTAAGAGGCCTTTTTTATCTACCATTAGGGTTATTTTTGCACAACTAGTCAGATGTACACTGAATATTATGTATTATAGAGTGATGTTAGTCCTTGGGTCAAATTATTCATTAAAAGAGGGTTAAAAGTATAGTGGAATACAAAACCATATTGGTCCAATGCCAATAATACTGTAGTTTGGCTTCATGTACAGTAGTTTTTCATAGTGATGTGCCAATAATTGTTGGAACCATTTCATTCTGTTGTAAAGAGAATTGAGCAGTATTGTTTGCAGTCATCTAATATACAGTAGGAAGGGGATAATAAGAGTTTATGTGTTTAAATAATACATGTGGATTACATAAAACTGTACTGCTGTCTTGGTGACGTTATCATTTAGAAAGCTGTGTTTGAATGTTGAAACTTTATAGTTAGTGTTTTCTGATTTTCTGTCACCACTGTAGCTGTAAAAAAACTGGAATGCATGTGTGTGCATTCCAGTTCCCTGAACAGTAGCTAGCATTTAACAGATCAGGCAAACAGTGCAAGAAGTCATGGAATATTTACTACTCAATGGACTAAACCAGCATATTTTGAGCAGAAAAGAAAGTTGGTTCAA